TGGACATAGGTGTTATTCCCTGGTACGTCTAGGTACTCATACCCACCTTAGGGTGCGTATTTGCACGTTGTCTTCTATTCAGGCGGAGACAAACCTACTGGACTAACGAGCGTCCTATAGTGTGTACTATATACTTATATGGACTATTCTAGTTATTATTGAGTCTTCCTAGGATGTATCTGCATATCGGATTACTGTTTGGATTGTAGTAGGATCAGGACTTGCATGTGGGCCTGACCCATTTCTTTATTTTTCAAGTGTTCGTTAGTTCCAGGGTTAGAGCTTGAACGTGCAGAGCAAATACAGATATTCATTCCTCCGACTATGTAGGAATCTTCTTTATGTTAGCTTTAGTTTTTATTTTTGTTTTTCAATTTCGGTTTGAGAACCTTTAATAAGGGGTCCAATGGATGGATTCCCAAGTTGTAAACCTATGGAGTTTGGATTTAACAGATTTCAATAATTATATTATTTTAAGGATTTTCAATTAGCATTCTTCCGTTATTATTTTATTTCTTATTTCATCTTGTATTCCGTGCTCGTTATAAAATATTGATTGTTTGATATTCTCTCAGGTTTGAGACTGGGCTTGATCAACCCGCGTCTCGGATCCGAGGGGTATCACAGCTATCCTCTCTATGCTTTAACTGTTGGCGTGTTGGGCATGATAACCGATCTTGCCCGTGGCCGATGGATACTCCGGTGAATGAGCATCAATTTAGCACTTGGCTGCGTGCGATGGGCTCGGCGGGTAAACTTAAAAAAGGTAAGCTCTCGGCAAACTCCACGTGTTCTTCCCATTCTCACAGCTCGCATTCGGTACTTCCAGCTTCTCCAGTGACCAATTTCTCTCCTGGCGAAGCTAGTAGCAGCAACCAAACCATGGTTATTCCTCTCGTAACCCCGGTTAAAGTGGCTGACGTCATGTTTCAGGATGGGCAATTAATACCTCCCACAGGTCCTACTGCATACAGTACTTCTGCACCGCCAGCTGATTATGTGGCTACAGTGCGCGAGGATTTGCCTTGTCGGGATTGTTGCCGAACTAATAACTAAGAGGTGAGGATCTATTCTAAGGTCACTTTACCCACGGTAAGTCTTCCAATCTCTCTGGCCCAAACTTTGCTTCTGGGCCGAATCCGGGCCTACATACTCGTAGGGAGAAGTTCATTAAGAGTCAAGCTATATCTCTTCCTTTTAGTCAGCCCAGTTTGCACCCCGATCATGAAATGACCCATAGTGACCTAACTACCAACCCTATTCACAGGTCAAGCCCAACATCCCCTTTTGATCCAGGAGTGGCCAGTTCTCAGTTTTTGGGGGAGCCCTTTTCTACTACATTCAATCCAATTGAAATTCAGCACTCTTTACCTGACGCATCTAAATCTTTCTCTCCCCTTGCCTGTGTCAACCCGAAGAAACCTGTTTCCCCTAATAAACCATGGAAACGTTTGGCCAGAATTCATTCTGATTCTGGTACCACGATTTCTTTTGACGGTCCAAAACGCAAATGCGGGGAGACTGAGTTTCATCCTTCCAAGGAGTCTAAGAAAGTAAAGACGTTGGAAACTAGGTCTTCCTTGCAGTCGACAATTGAGCAATCGATCCCTTCATCCAAATCAGTGGCGGTAGCCAACCTCGAATGGCCCCACCCCCCTCAATGAGAGTTTTGGTGTGGAAATGTCAGGGTTTAGGGACCCCCTGACAGTTTCCCAGTTGAGGAGGTTAGTGACCCTCTATTCCCCTCCTCTTATTTTTCTGTCCGAAACGAAGAACGCCAGTGATCGCGTGGAAAAGTGCGAGTTTTACTAGGTTATTATGATTTTTTTGTGGTCCCATCAGTGGGCAAGGCTGGTGGTTTTGCTCTTCTCTTCTCTAAAGAGTGGAATATCTCAATAATTGATTTATCTGATTTTCAAATTACGTGCAAAGTGATTGGGGGACGTGGAAGTACTCCTTGGTATTTTAGAGGGGTGTATGGTTCCTGCTCTGACAAGGAACGAGCTTATTAATGGCGATATATCCATAGTTTGATGTTTCAATTAGGCCCCCGATGGATTCTTATGGGGGACTTCAATGCTCTATTACATAGAGACGAAAAAAGAGGTGGTAGAAGGAAGTCTGGCTGGATGCTTAAGGAGTTCAAAATGTTTTTGGAAGATTGTGAGTTGATTGATCTCCGTTTTAAGGGCTTTCCCTTTACCTGGCGTAATAAGCGTGAAAGTGGTCAACTTATTCTTGCTCGGTTGGATAGAGCCCTTTGTACGGGTCAATGGTTCCATTCTTTTCCCCGCTGTATGTTACATCACATTACTGTCCAAGGCTCTGACCATCTTGCCATCATGTTATGTCTCAATGACTCGATTTCTCATTCTCAGCACAGTTTCCAGTTCGACGCTCGTTGGGTCAAAGAAGAAGAATTTAAACCTCTTATTCAGAAAGCATGGTATACTGTGATGACTGGTACGCCTATGCAAGGCATCAACCAAAAATTACAACACTGCACATCTGTTTTGAGAACTTGGTGTCGAGGTAAACCCAATAATGCTAAAACTAGAATTTTGGAGTTGGAGCGGCGTTTATTGTTTCTCAAGGAACAAGTGCAGGGTTATGATCAACTGGAATGCTTCAAGCTGGAACAGGAATTAGGCGCTGCATGGAAGGATGAGGAGCTTTTCTGGCTCCAGAAATCCAGAATTTCTTGGTTGCAGCAGGGCGATAAAAACTCTTCTTTTTTTCACAGAAAAACAAAAATTCGGCGCCGAAAGAATGAAATTATTGGATTGGAAGACCCAAGTGGTCATTGGGTGGATTCAAAGGATGATATTTGGCGAGTCGCTGAGGACTACTTCCATAATCTATATGCATCGTTGCCGGCCCACGTGGATGATCAGTTTTGGAATCTTGTCGCCCCTAAAGTTACTAAGGATATGAATACAATTTTATTACAAGATGGGACTGTTGAGGAACTGCGAGAAGCTTTGGCGAGTATGGGTCCGTATAAGTCTCCTGGCCCGGGCGGCTTTACTCCTCTGTTTTTTCAAACCAACTGGGAGGTCATTAAATTTGATATTTTACAAGCTTTTAATTCGTTTCTCCAAGGCAGCTTACTTCCACAGAGTTTGAATTCTACCAATCTCGTTCTTATCCTAAAAATCAAACATCCGACAATGATGACGTATTTCAGGCCAATTGCTTTGTGTAATGTGGCCTACAAATTGTTTCCAAGACTTTGGCTAACAGACTCAAGCCCCTTTTTCCTCTTCTGATCAATGAAGCCCAGAGTGCTTTTGTCCCTCACTGTTTAATCCATGATAATATTGTACTTACTCATGATCTTTTGCATGTTCTTCAATCTAAGAAGTTCGGTGAGTTGGGTTTTATGGCTCTCAAATTGGACATGGCCAAGGCTTATGATCGAGTCAGTTGGTCTTTCCTTTGTCAGTTTATGAAACAGTTGGGTTTTCACCAGAGATGGGTTAGTCTGATTTTGGAGTGTATTAGTTCGGTATCCTACTCAGTGATGATTAATGGTGAAAGGGGAGATTATTTTACTCCATTTTGGGGTCTTCGGCAAGGCGACCCTATTTCCCCTTACTTATTTCTGATGTGCACTGAAGGGCTATCACTTTTATTCTAGGAGTTTGGCAAACGGAAAAATATTTTGGGTATGAAGATGGGTAGGGGCTGTCCATCGATCTCTCACTTAATGTTTGCCGATGATGCCCTTCTTTTTTGTAAAGCCAAAGATCAGGAGGTGCGTTGTATTAAATCCATTCTGGATAGATATTCGGCTTTAACGGGCCAATTGGTGAATTTGGATAAATCTTGTCTTTTCTTCTCCCCAAATACGGCTTCGGATAAAAAAAATTTGTGTACTATGATTTTGGAAATTTACAATGTGGATTGGAACAATGTTTATCTTGGACTCCCTTGTTTTGTGGGAAAATCTAAAGTGGCAACAATGGGTTTCCTATCCAACAGAATCTCTGCTCGAACAAAATCTTTCAAAGGGAAGTTGTTATCTAAAGCCGGGAGGGAGGTTATGTTGAAAGCAGTTCTCTCGTCTCTTCGCACTTATGCTATGCAATGTTTGCGTCTTCCCAAGAAGAATTGTGCTGATTTGACCAGTAAGTTCCTTAATTTTTGGTGGGGGCGGCGAAGAGAAATCTAACAAGATTAAATGGGTGAGTTGGGACAGTCTTTGCTCTTTCAAGGTGGATGGTGGTTTAGGGTTCAAAAATGTTGAAGCCTTCAATCTTGCTTTTCTTACTAAAATGACATGGCATATGGAACAAGGTAACGATTCTCTTCTCTATCATTCTTTTAAGCAGAAATATTTTAAATCATGTGCTTTTGTTAATGCTGTGCCCAAATCCCACTCCTCTTGGGTATGGCGCAATATTTTATCTACCCAAGCTGTCATTAAGAAGGGATTGAGCTGGAGCATAGGTGACGGATCGAAAGTCAATTGTTGGTTAGATAACTGGCTTCCCGATGTTGCTCATCCTATTGCCATATCAAACCCTCTCGGGTCGCCTTTTTCTTTAGTAGCTGATCTTATGGTTCCCTCGTCACACTCCTGGAATTCTAATTTGATTCGTCATCATTTCAATCCGAGAGATTGTGCTCTTATTTTTCAAATACCCATCAGTTTCAGTGGGGGTGTAGATTGTAAGGTGTGGGGTGCCACAAAGGATGGGTCTTTTTCAATCAAAAATGCATATCATATTGCTCTGTCAACCTTAAAAAGCGAGACTGATCCATCTCCTTCTGCTGGCTATAGTTTTGATGCTGCAAAATCTAATATGTGGCATACTATTTGGAAAATTTAAGCGCATCGAAAAATTTTATTTTTTCTTTGGCAAAGCTTACATGAGCGCATTCCAGTTAATTTTTTGCTGTCCTTGCGTAAAGCCTCTGCAGTGCTGTTTTGCCTTTTCTGTGACGCTCCAGCCGAAACAGTTGATCACATTCTCTGTACATGTCCTTTTGCTTGTATGGTTTGGAGATTAAGTCCGTTAAGACTGGATTTTAGGGGTTGTGGTCCAACTGTCTGGCCCAAGCGATGGGTGGAGATGTCTGACAAGTGGAGGCACTCTTCTGGTTCTTCGCAGTGTTATAGCCTTGCAGCTTTTATTTGTTGGACTCTTTGGAAATGCAGAAATGATCTTCTCTTTAATCATTGCCGATGGGATCCTTTTGAGGCATCACAAAAAGCTCTTACCGATTTCTTTGAATATCAAGAGATTCTACGACAATCTCAATCCATGTCTTTTCCTTCTCCTTCTTCCTTATCGGTTCATCCTCCTTTGCAGTGGCGCCCTCCGCCGTTGGGATTTCTCAAACTCAATTTTGAAGTGGGTTTTAATCAAGCCAGACAATTTTGCGGTGGTTGGATGATTCTGCGCAACCATCTAGGACAGCCGGTTAAGGTGGCATCTGTTTTCCTCTCTCATGTTGGGGGTCCCTGTTTGGCTGAGGGTCTTGTGCTACGTGAATGTCTTTCTTTGTTACATTTATGGGGCTATCAAAACGTGATTATTGAAGGGGTTTGCCAACAAGTGATGTGGCTGAAGCCTTCAGTTGCAGCTTTATATGTGGTTTTTCAAGATGTCTCTATTCTTCTTTCTGTATGTAAGGGGTCCTCTTTAGCTTAGTTTCCTAGGGATGGTAACTGTGTAGCTCATTTAGTGAGCAAAATGGCCTTGGTGGCTGAATGTGGTGATCTGGCCTTCATGGCTTCTTGATGCCTTAGCTCTTGATTGTAATTCTTCTTTTATTCTATAATAGTCTTCTCTGGTTGGCGGAAAAAAAAAAAAAAAACATGATTAAATTACATATTAGTGTGACACTGTATCTGTGTTTGTGTGTTTGGAAGAAGGCATCACTAGCAAACAATGCATTTTAGCGTAGAAAGATGTTTTCTGTTTACAATTATTTTAGTTAATTAAATAAGAAATATTCACTAACGCCTTTCGGTTAGAATAATTTATAGTGATGCTTATGCATTGATACCATTTTCATTGGCATTAAAGAAATTCTTGTCAACAGACAAAAATATCACCCAATATGATAATTAATCCGGGTAAATAAACAATTAAGTATTTCCCTACAATATTATAATAATGCGAAGAATGGTATAATTAGGGCCACTTAATATAATTTGAGACCTTAGGTAAAAAATATAAAAATGATATTTTAATATCTAATATATATATAATTTCTTGTCACATAACTGATATTAGAGTTATACAATTTTTTATTTTTTATTTTTTCTGCAGAATTTATACTTAATGAAAAATGAGAAAAAATATGTCAGAAATAAGAAGGAAAAAAAAAAAAAACAAAGAAGAAGATAAATGTTAAATAAGACTATGGAAAGTTGGAGCTGAGACAGAGAGAAAAAAGAGGTAAGATAAAGATAAAAATCTTTTGGTCCTTCTTAAATTTCTATTGGTTATAATAATTGATACAAATAAAATTTTTAAGGAGTTTATAATATAAGGAAATAAAAAAAAATTGGAGCCTTTTTATTGGCAGAGTTTAAATTTTAATTGGAGCCTTTTTATTGGGCAGAGTTTAATAATATAAAGGAAATAACATTTTTAGGAAAATTATAATATGAACAAATAATTTTTTTTAGAAGTTATAATATAAGAAAATACAAAATTTGAGAATATAATATGAAGAAATAAAAAAAAAATTTGAGGTGAAGCTTTCAGAATGTTCTTTCACGGTTCCAGTGAAAGAGATAAAATTCAAATTTTTTTAGAGAGGTAAAAAATTCAGGGACACTTGGCAACAACCAAATTCCCGTTTTATCTTATATAAATAGCACAGTGCAAACAAGTCACACAACATTTGTCTTATATACTTTCTCTGTTGGTGATCTCCCTCGTCACGAGAGAAAGTATGAAAAACAAATACGGTGTGACTTGAATACCTAATGCATAAGTAAATATTGTGTGACTTGAATACCTAATATGATATTGATTATGGTCGATCTTAAATTAGGTTTGTATTCATTTGAATCTAATCAATTCCAATTTCAAAATTTATACGGATTTTTTTTTTTATTTTTTTAAAAAACAAAAAGAAAAATATTTAAAAAAAAGAAAAATAAGAATAATAAACTCAATAGTAATTCAACAATTGTGATCATGTTTTGAATTGATCCAGTGATTCCAAATTTATAGATTTTGAAATTTCTATAAAATAAGTTTTAGGTATGTTGTAAAAATGAAGACGATTATAATGAAATTGCATGCATCAAAGATGTGTCAATAATTTGATATTAAGATATAATTTTAACTCACTTATTGTCCAATTAGTAGGTAATATGCTTAGGTGATTTTGTAAAATTGAGATAGCTATCTATAATTGAATCCCTTTCATTTTAATTAATTAATTAATTTAAAAAAAGCCTAAACTAATTATTTTTAAAAGAAAAATTATAATAACAATTAATGTCCATATTTGAAAGAAGAGAAATATGTCCAGTACATACTACATTGGTATTTAATCAAAAGTGTTCTAAGTCTAAGCTTGTGTCATTACTAAACTCTGTCGATAAAATAATCCAATTGCAACGAAGCATTCATACCCCAAAAAAAAATGCACAAGACTATAATTTATCTACAAAAGAAAAATGATAAGTCATTCGAACTCAATTGTCGACTCTTTTTCTAAATACAATGTGATTACTCAACCCACTTATTTTATAACAAAATATATCCCGGTTTTTCAGTAGGCCCAATTGATATCATTTATTCCCGACAAATCGAAACATTAAAAAAAAAAAAAAAATACCATATAATATATAAACCACTCTCTCTATATGTATTATTATATATATTAAATGCCAACTGGTTCTGAGTTAAGCAATGGCCCACGATCGAACATGTCACAAGTCTTGAACCATTTGATCATCATTATATATCACCAATTTGTTGTTTGTTTATCAGAGGAATCATGACATTTCAGAATTTTTCTTCTGGGACTCATTCTTATTTCTAATAATGTGTAGCTAATTACTCGATCAGTAACTTTTTTTTTTTTTTTAAGGTTATCAATAGTGTCACGACAAACTCAATAAACTACCATCATTAAAAAAGTAAAAATATGACGCAAAGAGTACAAAAATTTATACGTGGTTCGACAAAATCTGCGATCACAAAGTCTTTATTATATTTTAATCCTTAACTTTTTTTGTTTCTGTACGATTTTAGTGTCTCTCAATAACGTACTATAAATCTTAAGTGCCCTTACTCAATTTTTAATAATACCCAACTATATATGATTGTTGTTCAAGGTCACCTCTTCTCGTACAATTCACTACATTCGTCACTATTTTTACATATCAAATTACAAAGAAAATACTAATTACATATCAAATTACAAAAAAAATACTAATTACAGTCTCCGACCAACAAATAAAAACGGATAAAAAAAAACCTTTAGTAAATTTGAGCCCACACAAAACTCTATTGAGTTGTTGAATAGTAAACGGGTCGTTTGACACCAAATTCAAACCACTAAATAAGAAATAGTAGTAACATTTAAACAATCTCACAGGGAAATGATTATTTAATATACAAAATCCCAAATTAAATTTGTTTTCTCATGCATGCATCTTGGCTTGTCCAATAAAATGGTGATACACACACACACACACATATATATATGTGTGTGTATGTCGCAGTTGGAGACAGTTAAGTGTGGGCTGGACTATTATAGGAGGGGTTGGGGATTAGAGAAGGTTCTTTAAGAAAGAAGAGCATGTGAATGTATGTCACGTCAGCATAACCATGTTGTTAAACCTACAAGGCATAGCTATCTGTGGGACCCATCAAAAGTCTCGTTCGCGTGTGTGAGTGGGAATATGGTGGCTCCCACACGTATATTATTTTGATGAGGATATTGAGTTGATGATGATGACCTTGGAGGCCAAGGCATTAACAGTAGCACAAAATGGAGTTAGTAGAAATTAAAATATATTTTGGCCTTTATAGTAGAAACAATCTCATCATTGTTACTAGAAATTAAATATATTTTGGCCTTTTTTGAAATAATCTCATCATTGTACAGCTTAGCTTGGTTTGACATATATTCCCACCACCAAACTCCTCCATCATTAATTTGCATCACATCCTCATTTTGATTCAAATATTCAAATATACGTTTGTGTGTGTGTAGATTCACACATATGTACGTGTTTCTTCTGATTTCAGCAATCCTAATATTGGTAATGAGATAACATGAATGCATATATACAAATTAAAATGGCTCTTCTAATTTCAGAAAGACTATAAATTATAGCCCACTCTTGGTATAGTTTGAAACTAGAAATTAGAGATGGGTAATTTTGACCATATATATATATTTTAATACTTTTTGGGAAAAAAACACATTTTAACTAATTTTTTTAGTTTTATTTTATTTTTATTATTACAGTATATCTGAAAAGATGTATATACAAACATAATAAAAATAAAAAATAAAAACTTAACACATTAACCATCACAAATACACCATACTTAAAGAGGATGGAGGGGGAGAGGGAGGGGGGAAAATACAAGCATTTTCGTCCCAATTTCTTGAGTCCGTTCCTAAATACAACTGTAATTATTGATCACCCAGGTCATCGAAATTACTTAAAGAAAAAATATATATATATATTTTGCCTTCCCCTCACACAATTTTCTGAATCCGGCCCTAAATACAATTGTAATTAGTGATCACCAGGCCACTTTGGAAGACTGTTGGCATTTGCACCATTTTGGAAAACTTAACTCTTGGCTTTGGAAAAGTGTTGGAACTTGGAAGTCAAAAAGAAGACTAAAAATTGTAGTATATACTAAATTACAGATGACACATTTATATATATATATATATATATCATAGAAGTGATCCATTAAAAGTTTTGAAATACCAAAAGGACGTTTTAAAGATATTACTATAATTTAGATAGCCAACCATTAAATATGGTTGTATCATTTTTTTCCTCTTATGTTTGAAAAAAATAATAATTGGGGAATGGATAAAAGAAGTTGGAGATGGAAAAAAAAGAAGGGCTCACTATCATTGATGAAAGCATTATGTGGTCTTTCTCTATCTGGATTGCATATCAAAGGTTTTGATTGTTTTGTCATCATTACTTGATTTTTTTTTTTTAGGGTTTACCAAAGCAAATCATCACAGTTACCAGTGGCCCTCAGCCACTTAACCATTCTTTTCAAAAATTTCATTGTATAACAACTTGATGATCCAGGACCATTTGTTATTTTATGTCAACACTCTCTTTCTTCATTTTTCTTAATTTTCTTAATAGAAAATGTACTAATAACAGGCTGCCATACAACCAAGTTGATATAGTTAGTTGCGTGGTGGCTTATTATTGGCCAGAAACACATGATCCTAAATCATGTAATAATTTATTGATAAATTGAGGAAATCGTTCTATGTGTTATCAAGAATGCTAAGATCAAAGTCTGAATGGAGATCCAAGTTAGCACAAGGGATTCTCTTTTGAAGAGATCGATTGAGAGAGAGGACAAATTTGCTTAATACCCTAAGATAGCGATAGCTCGAGTCTTAAGAGTTCCATAGTTTCTAGTCTCTAGTTATTATTCTCATGTCCTCCCTTTTGGGTAAGGATCGTGGATCACGAGAGCTAACTTCCTTTTTTGTCTATGGTAACTTTACCTAATCGGATCAGACATCCCGTGAGTGGCCCGAGGCACTCCACTGCCTTTTTTCGAGGCAGTGGTGATGGTTTGCAGCGAGTTTTATCGGTCAATTAACACATTTAATGTGTTGTACAGTGTCTGCTAGCTAATTGAGTTCAACTATTGCATATTAAGTATTGTCTCCTCCTTGTGTAAGGTGATTAATTGGAACTCAGCCACATAGCTACTGATTCTCATATTCCCGCGATAAAAAAAAGGGAGGGAGGATTGGTTAGATCTTGCCTTCCTAGATCTCAACCCTGCATATCATATCCAAATAGTCGAGCGCCATTGGTGGTAGCTCCTAAATATTAGTTGTAGGTAGGTTTTCAGAACTCGATACATAATGGGCCACTCATAAGTAGAGAAAAAAACACTTCAATACTCATTCGTAGAGGGAAGCCCACTCATAAACCCAAGACAACTAGACTATCTATTTTTGTTGAGCTGGTTTGGGCCACTTAATAAAAGAAAAATCTTTGCATGACAAAAATTGATTGATCATCTGAAAGAGAGACTTACACTACCAAAAACAAGCTAAAACAACAGAAAATAAGAGTTCCAAAGCACTTTAGTAATGACCAACGGTCTTGTGACTTAGTGTTATTTCCTCTATCTTTCAAAGTGAATGGTGAGCGTTCGAGTTTCCAAATGAGCAAAATGAGTGTGTGAGTAGTGTGTGTATTTCTTGCCATTGAAAAAAGCACTTTTGTAATGTCTCTAGTTTAGTTTGGTGAGCTTGAAGCTCGACTCTACACCCTTCTAGAACCAAGAGGTTAGAAACATAATTATTTGAAAAAAAAAAAATAGATTTTTTCCATCCGGACTGAAAAATTAGGTGGGCCGATCTTGCTTGATAGCCCAAATCAGATGGGCTGATGGTGAGCGGACCGAATACGATTTGAATTCTGAACAGGCTAGGCCCAAGGTTAGACCATTCAACCATGACGACTGGCCCAAACTTTTCTAAGCAGGGAATTTAGAAAGAAATTGGGGTTCTATACTTCTATTGGGCCCAATCCCATTAGTCATCATATATGCCCAATAACGGGCTACTTCATTGACCCAATTCAACCAGTTCTAAATACTCGATTTGCTGAGCAGGGGGATAGAGAAGGAAAAAAAAAAAAAAAATGCAACAAGCACCAGCAGCTCAGGCGGCGTCGACGGCGATTCCCACCTCCTCGCCGCCGGAGTCGCAGGGATCTACGGCGGACGCGCCACCCAAACAAGTGGCGCTGGCAATGGACAGGCTGGGCCACGCTGCCCGTCTCATCGCCGACATAAGACTCGGGGCGGATCGCCTCCTCGAAGCCCTTTTCGTGACTTCACAGCCTCACCAGTCCAGCAAGCCCTTACATTTGATTCTTAAAGAGGAGGCCTCCATGCGACAACACCTCCAAGATCTCCGAACCATTGGTAACTAGTACTACTCTCGCTCACTTATCAGAAAACCTAGTAGTACTCTTCGTCAGTTCTCCATTTTGTTCTCTTTGTTAATTTCTAGGTTTAGGGTTTAAAGGTTTAAATTATAAGAAGTATCGATATAGTAGGCTCAAGCTATTTTAACGAGTATGCTCTTATCAAAATGAAAATCGATATTATGTGTGGTTATTCAGCGATCTTAGTGATTCGTAGCAAATACCTAACAAAGAGAAATATTAATCCATAATGAATCCAATTTCATTGATAAAATTTTCTAAATTTATACCAAAAAAGAACTTTTAAAATGGCTGGAAATGATGTGTTATTTTGGCCCAGATGCAGAGTGAGGTGGACAAAGTTGTTCTTAATATTTTAAGCTCCATTTTGATGTGTTTTCTGGAATACAATGGGAAAGGCATGAAATTTGGGCAACACAGTGGGAAGGTCTTAAAAATCCAGAAAGCATTAGAAGGTAGAAAACATAGAAGGACAGTTATGGACGTCGAAAATACACCTAGTGTTTGACTAATTGATAGTTAGTGGCTTTCATTCCAGTCCTAATTTGAATGACTGGAAATGGGGAGACAATATAGTCAAATACAAGTTGTTCAAATAACGGTTACGTTGTTTCAATGATTGGAAAACTTGTGTAAATGATGAAAGAACTAAGATACTCTTCTTGCACGAAATTTTATGATAGTAAAATATAGATATCGAACTACTATATTTTTTCCGATCCAATTCATAATAATGTTCAGGAATCATTCATTCTAATCACTATTCTATATAGAAATCTATTATAGAAGATTTAGTGATTCGCTGTAATATCCTAAATTTAAATTCTGCCCGTATTTGCTGTTATGATTCTTTCAGTGGATATTTTAGTTAATTTGCATATTTTATTGAGTGGTGAAACAAAATCTTGGAATATAATTGAATAGGAAAAATGGGTTCATTGAGTAGAAAATGGAAAAAATTAAAGTAAAAGAAATTGGGTCATTTTTACTTATTAAAAAAGAAGAAGAAAAGAAATTGGGTCATTTTTTGAGTTATGGCATGATTGATATTCACTTTTACTTTGGATATGTAACAGCTTAAGGTTTTATCTATATATTTTTATTTTGGATTGTGGTATGTAAAAGTTTATTACTTCAAATTAGTGGTGTTAAAGTGTTATTCGAGTTAATGTTTAATTGATAGTTGGACAATTAAAATTTGTATGTGGTGGGAATGTGTATTATTTTAATTAGATCGAAAAGTTGCTTCCAGGTGTTCCTACTAGTTTATGTAGAAAAATGTTTACTGATTACAATAGTTATATATGTATGTAGATATATACTCCCTCCGTCTCACAAAAAGTGTCCACCTTTCCATTTTTGGTTGTCCCAAAATAATTGTCCCAATTCAAAATTCAATGTACTATTTTTTTTAATATTCTTAATTTACCCCCTTGCCTTGAAGTTATAAAAGCATTTAAAGTTTGAAATAGACATCATGTGGACCCACCATAGAAGGGTATATTTGGAAATTCATTCCCTACCACTAAAATAAAAAAAATTAAAAACTACACTCTTAAAAAGTTAGTTTCCCAAAAAGGGACACTTTTTGTGGTACGGAGGGAGTATATACTAGTGGGTATAGGGAAAACGTGATGGACCCTTTTGTGGGTTGACTTGGTTATTAGTAACCAGTTTGGGCAATAGGTACATTACGTTCATGCAATGTTTCAAAAAAAAAAATTTATAATCATGTGTTGCGCCGAGGCAAAAGAAAACATAAAGGGGACTAAACCCAGGACTCTTGCCTGGGTATATAGCGCTGAGTCTAACTCTCTCTCTCTCTCTACATATATTTATATATGTGTGTGTGTGTGTATAAGGAGTGAACAGAAACGTGAGGAAATGAAGAAAAAGAAAAGCAGGAAAGAGAAAAAAAAACCTAGCCCCTCTTTCAATCCATCCTTCTCAAATTCAAGGCAAGGTGGTAGGAATTCAACAAGGGCCCAAGAATGAAAACTATTTATCACGGTGAACTCTACAGGGCTACAGTTTGAAAGGTCCGAATCGAATGAGTTTTGAAAAGTGGGTGTTTTGGGTCTAGCACTAGAGGTAGGGGTGTACTAATTGTCTTAACTCATAATTTGTGATTTGTGAGCATGAGCATGTTTAATTTGTGTTTTGCTTCTGTTTTGAGTTTTGTTAATCTTATGGTATTCGATGAAGTTTCATTAATTCAGATTTTTGTTTCTTTACTTTCTTTTATATTATTCTTTCAGCAACTATAACTGTATTCTTGTTTGAATGTGTTTGTTTATCTCAATTTAAGTTTGAAGAAATCTGGTACAATTAATAATTGTCATATTGTACTTTATTCTGTAGTTGCTATCTTTTTTGTGTATCTATTAGTTAACATTTGGGTTCTTGGATTGTTAAGATGTTGAATTTAATCGTCTATGTGATGGAATACATAACTCATGAGATAGACAATAAGCTACTGAATGTTATCTCATATTATGGTGTGAGATAATTTGATAAAATTGGTGTTCTTGTTGTGTGGAAAAATTGTTGGTTGTTGATGAGGTTGTGCGGCAGAAGCAAGGCAGGCTCCGGAGCCCTTGGGTGAAAGACTCAGAACTTGGCCTAGTTGTGTTGAATCCCATTGTGTTAGTAGCCCGTAAATTCGACAATTGTGTTATGGGATTTGCTTGAAAGCAAGCGGATGAGCATGTCTAGTCACGTACATAATTATATGATAACTACCACCTATATATGTATAGGTTGCCAACTAAATAAAGTGACACATGGCCGGGCATGTGGGTTCTGTTTCACTTGTAGGCTAGTTGGGTTGGAGAATTGAAAAAAAAAAAAAAGAAGAAGGAAGAAAACTTATATTCATATAATTAAAGTCTCCTAATGTGATATGTTGCCATGTGGCAAAAGAAGAGAATAAGTGAGAATAAAAACAAAAGTAATTAGATAAAAAAAAATGTTTCAGATTTTAAGGATGTTTAATTTAAAATTTTAATTTAGTTTCTTTTCTTTTATCACAAACCGGGTTTTGAAAACCAAGGCGTGACATTTGCTGTCGAACTTATTCCAATTCCAAGAGCTTGGATCGAATTGGTATTGATATTCTGATTCGATCTGAGCTCTCTTATAGAATTGCTCATTCTATGAGCGTTCTCAATATTATGCCTTGAAGAGGACTTGATCCTCCACTTTATTTAGCAAGAGATTTTGAGTCCCATGTGTCTAGCTAATGACAGAATACGTCCTTGTCAATTGGAAAGTGATTCCGTCCACATACTAGGCTAAAAACGGGCACTGCAAGTGGAAAAATGATTGCATGCCTAGCTTTTTTTTTTTCCTTCACGCTCGTGACTTTTGAGCTTGCTAGTTGGCATCTGCCTTTGCTGCATCAATGTTGATAACCATGATGATTTTATTAACTTGCTGAAACTAAAATTAACTATAACGTATATGTCAATCTTATTTCTGTCTGTGGTATTGATATTTCAAGTGTTATATGGTAGCACCATAAATTTTAAATCTTTCTATTTTTGATAGGAAGGCAGTTGGAGGATTCTGGGGTTCTCAATGAATCTCTTCGGTCACGAAGTAATTCTTGGGGCCTGCACATGCCATTGGTTTGCCCAGATGGCGCTGTTGTTGCATATGCATGGAAACGTCAACTTGCTGGCCAGGCAGGTGCATCTGCGGTTGACAGGACCAGGTAAGTTTCAAAATCTTGGGTATGATGATACTTCTATGGACTCTGGTTTTTTGTTTCCTGTTTATTTATTTATTATTATTGGTAAGTATTCCCACACACACATTCCCCACTGGAGCTTGAACCCTCAACCTCTCCTTTGCAGAGGAGGAGGATATACCACTCAAGCCAAGGCTTTGATGGTAAATTTCCTGTTTATTCACCATAACATTTGATTCGCTTCTTACTATTGTGGTGCTTTGATTTGATGAAATTATTGTTAGGAGTCAGTCTTCTTCCATTAGCTTGAATCAGGTAAGACTATGTTTGGTCAGTCTATATCTGATGGATCTATTATATAATGCAACACTGAAATTGAAATGCATGATACATTGATCTATGTTGATGAAAGAAAATATGCACATTTGGAGCTATATGCCTTGTAAATATGTAACCTTTTCTACCTAACCTTAAGTATTATTGATACAACAACAACAACCAAGCCTTTTCCCAATTGTTTGGGGTCGGCTACATGAATCCCATGTTTCCATTCCGCTCTATTTAAGGCCATATCCTCAGTCAATCCGCATGCTATCATAGCATAAGTTTTATTGATGCAAACTCTTAGTACCTTCAGTATTGATGACAATCTGTTACTTGTCCAAGAGTATGATCCTTTTAGGAGCATTATAATTGCAATGTACAGAATTCGCTCCCAGAAGCACCAAGTTAAAGCACTCCTGACAAAGAAATTACTCGAAAGACTATATAGTATTCCTGACAAAAGTTAACTTCAACTAGGAAAGGACTTTCTTTTTATTAGATAGAATATTTAAATGGGAGTGAGGCTTTGGACTGAACAGAGTGTTGGAATTGAGACCAAGGGCTGGGATGTTGACCAGAAGTATTCTAGAATTTTCCTAGACAGACTGAATTCCTGAGGGTCATTATTTATTTGATGTTAACTTATTACAAGTTGTCATTAATACGATGTTTTCCGTGAGAATTTTTTGAATGAACTATCCAAGAAGTTACCTCTTATTTTCAAACTCATCATGACGTGCTATGTCCTGACTTCTATTATATAAGTTTTGGCCGTTGCTTTGACTTTCTTAAGAGTGTGTTTTTGCCCTGCCAACAGTAGAACTGTAGCCTGTCTTCCCTGTCCCTTTCTGATGCTATGCATGTAACAATGTGTTACAGCATCTTTGGATTTATCTACTTTCTTAATTTCATTTTCTTTCTTCTAATTCTCTTGATATTCTTTTTTTTTTTTCATTGCTTTTTTTAAGTTGAAATTTGTTGCTTGTGCTATGATGATTCTTACTTTAAAATGTCCTATGTTTGTGGCTTTGACATGGCAAAGTTTTACTACCCATTTTCTTTTTCCATCTCATATCTGGCATGTTCTTGCATTCAATTAACCTAGAAAGGGTTATATGAATAGAAGTGAAGTACTCTAATGATCTCAAAATAAAGGCACATGTTTTACATTTCACACAAATAAGGGGATAAGGGGTGTTGGAAAAACTATGTACTCATGGCTGTGAACTTTTCCAGATTGGCTCTCAAGGCATTTACTGATCAGAAAAGGAGATTCTTTCCCCACCTTGACGATGGCTCCAGTAGTGAATCAGCTTTGAAGAAACATTGTGGTTCCCAAGGATCAACTGAGAGTCATCAGGAAGAGCTCAGTGATTACAGAACAGTGTCAGATATTCTATTGCATCTAGAAAAAGAAGTGCCAAATGTGAGAACTTTTACATACCAACGGTTAAATTGGTTAAAACGAGCTTCGTGTCTGCCTTCTTCAGCCAATGAGAGTTCCATAGAACCATTAAAAGAACATAGTTTTCATAGTTCAAGTAAATTAAGACAAGGATCAGTGGGCGTTGTTGCTGCTGATAAGGTTGCTGTAATTGAGTTGTTGTTTCCTTCCGTTTTTAGAGCTATAATATCATTGCATCCAGCTGGTTCTATTGATCCTGATGCAGTAGCGTTCTTTTCCCCAGATGAGGTAATTTTGATTACCAGTTGCAACTTTCGATTCTCCTCATTATCTTTTCAATTATAGATTGTTGCTTCAAGCATGTTCCATTAGTTCTAACAGTTCACCCTTAGAATATTGTTGCATCTGACCATTTAATTGCATCATGTTATTGTTTTCTGAGTTCTCTTAGAATCAAGCTACAAGTTACCTAAAATAAATTGTTTACCTTTTACAAAAGAAGAAAATGGCTTCATGTTCTTTTGCAGTGAAATTTTGATTACCTGTCTATATCAAATGTAATGTGTAAGTATTGGTGTAAATGATTTCGTTCAAGCAAATCATAGAAACTTATCGAGCTTGGCTTGCTTTAATGTTGATCAAGCTGTAACCATGTTATAGATTTTTCAAAGCTTAGCTTGGCCCTTTGAAGAATGGAACTCATAGATTGGGATAGGCTTGGGCTTGTTCATTAGTCTAAGAGTGGTAAGTATCTAAATTTGGTTTCAGGTAAAACTAGGCACTGGCATTACATATCCTCTCTTATATCTGAAGTTGGACAAGCACACCAGTCCAGAACTGAGCTTTACGAGATTGGACAACCCAAATGGGCCTATTTTTAAGTTTGAAAACCCAAATTTTGCACAATGTATATTTGAAACGTTGTTGGATCTTATCTAGATATGGTTGTGGAATGCACAATTGCCAGCTCTTTCAAACACTTGGATATAAGACATCGGGGTAAGATCCTTGTCATATGGAGCATGTCTGGACAGGGGACTCTAATTTATTTAATCAATATGGTACCTCAGTCTTCTTTCCTATTTTCAAGAAAGTCAATGAATTGGTGATATAACTCCTTAAATTGTCTCTTTTGGTTTATAGCTATCCTGAAGGCCTTTGGTTGTATGAGTGGTGATGACCGTAAGTATTATAGACCTCTTCATATGTCTGATGAGTTGTCTGGTAGCTCCAGGTCTACTCAGTTGTCAAGAATAAAAAAATTATACTGTAGTAAGTATAGGACGACAAGGTAGTTGCTGGTTTGTGTATAATTTGATGTATCTTATGGTTTGATGAGGTGAATCCTCGATGCTTTGGCCATGATCCCTTCTGAGGCTAAACTAGTGTTCTAAATTCACGACGGTGTTCCATACTGATCTACTGAAGAAGTGATTATTCTTATAACACTACATCAATTATGAATATAGTGATTCTGGACTTCGAGTTCTAGTGAACACTAGAACTGAGGTCTATATCCTTAAAATAACTTCTATGTGGTGGTCAGCTTTTTAATATTCCTGGTCTTACAAGTAAGCTGGTCACTTTAAAGCCTCCATTTCTTCCATGACTTTTTATCTCATGTGAATTGTTCTGATGCATGTAAGTTTTTATATCCTATTTTATTTTTGTTTTACATGCTTACTTGGAAGCTACATAATGAATTTCTTACTAGACTAATGCATCTAATGCAATAACCCTTTTGACTTTCTTTGAAGGGGGGGAGCTATGTGCATGCGAGGGGATTTTCTGTTTATCATGTGTTTAGACACATCACGGTAACAAATGTCATTGCTCTGCTTTACTTTTTTTACATATTGCTGGCATTCCAGAATATCCAGCACAGTTCAATTTCGCAGTTTAAACTTTATTAATTGCCTTATTGCAGGAACATGCTGCTATGGCTTTGCAGTATTTTCTTGGTATCAAAACCGAAACAGCTTTGCATTTTCTGATGGTACTCATGAAGATTTATAGCGTCCATCTTTACGTTAATATTCTATTTAATTAGATGAAAGTAAATTTTTTTTTTTTTTTGATGTATGTCTTTGTTCTTGTAGCACTGGATCTGCAGCTATCGGACTCTATTTACAAAAGCTTGCAGGTGCAGTTGTCTCCTTTCTGTTTTTAATGATTTATCCATTTGGTTTCTGTATTGGACTTCAATATGTTTCTTTGTGTTTGTGGTGCAGTAAGTGTGGGCGGCGATTGTCAATGGACAGGCAATCAGCTTTATTGTTACCTCCTGTTTATCGCCCTTACCGGAACTTCCCTGCGTGTAAAATCTCATCAACTCAAATAAATTCTTTGACAAAGGACCAAAGTACGGAGATCACTCAAGCTTATCACGTTGGATGTTTTTCGGAGGAAGCATAGTCCCATCCATTGATGCAGGTGTATTAGAATTGTAGTATTTGACATCCTTTTGAAATTGAAATTCATTTCCAGTAGGCCTCAAATGTAAATTTCAAGTTACCATTAGGGTTTTTTTTTTTTACTATATCTGTAATGTAAAACTAGTTTTGTTACCTTTGCTTTTTACCGAATCTTTTCAGATGAATTTCTTCTTGTTCATGCTTTGGGGTTTTTTTTTTTTTTTTTTTTTCTTCCCCTATTCTACTTGAAGCTTGATTAGGTAATAATTTTTGAACTTATTTTTGATTGGTTTGTTTTATTGTATGATTGTGGGGTCATTTTATATTTTGTGCAACAGAGTATTCTTTATATTAATTAGAGTGGTGTACACAGTCACGTACTAGTGTTACATATAATTAATTATGTGATCGATGCATCTTTTCTTTTCTTTATCCTCCTCTATGTTAACTTTTTGTTGGTTCATTTGTACTAGTGTTACATATAATTAATTATGTGATCGATGCATCTTTTCTTTTCTTTATTCTCCTCTATGTTAACTTTTTGTTGGTTCATTTGTTCTTTTTTTAGTGATTTCGTTGTATACTTTCTATACGTACGAATCGTCTGGTATCTGACTGTCATGGTTAACTATCTTTCTCTATATTTTTCTATAACATGTACACACTTTCCGGAATCTCACTGTTAATCAAAATGTCAATACAAATGCTTCAAACATTCTTCAATATAGTACTAATAGTCATATATATATATATATATATATATATATATATATATATATATAATTATATGTATATAATTTTATTTTTTTAGTTAGTTTAAAAAAATATTTTGTGATGCATCTTTTCTTTACTTTAATTATTCCTCTGCTATTCATTTTTTAAAGTAATTGTTAATTCATTTCAGCCTTCTTTCCTCTTTTTATTTAATAGGATTATCTTCTTAAAAATTAGTTATCAAATCATAATAACTTACTAATCTAATAACTTCGATAGCCCAGTGAGTTATTGTTTCCGATGAATTTGGGAGTGTCAGACTTCTGTTATCTGCATTTACTAATCTAATTTATAACCCTTCTCGCCTTCTAAAAAAAAAAAAATTTCATAATAACTTAGGCTTTCTGCATGGAATCATGGTTAACTAATATTAGCTTTTGCTTGATTCCTTGCTAATGTTCAAAGTGTCTCCACTCAAATACCAAAACCAGCATGTCAAGCAATCCCAAGAACAGATGCTGTTTTCTCTAAGCTTTTGAGAGTGATCTATAAAAACCCATTAAACACACCATTGTCAGAATCAAAAGCGATCAAAATTTATTATCCCCATACTTTTTTCTTCAGTTCATCAAACTCAACTTCGGTCCCCAACCTGCCATGGATTCATATGGCGGCCAAAGTTATCGTCCCTCAGCCTCTCGTTTAACAGTGGTGGCACACCTGTTTGGTATAATAGCACTCATCCTCATGCTCGTTTGGTTGCTGCATTATCGTGAGGGTATCGAACTGGATTCTGACAACTCATTTCGTGTCTTCAATGTAAGTGATGACTCCCTCTTTATTCAACCCTCTTGTTATAAGTGCCAAGAACTTTTCATATTTGACCGCCGGATTGTAAAATGTATTATACGATTCATTTGATTTTTTATAAATCTCAAAAAATTACTTCAATCCAGGGATTAGATATGAAGAGCTCGTGATTATTCTCGTAAGAGAGCTGATGCGTTGCTCTATATGTTATATCATATTCATGCACGTCAACTAACATTTAACTGCAATATGTTATATATGCTTTGGACAGGTCCACCCATTTCTTATGTTCTTTGGATTTATATTTTGTGCTGGTGAAGGTACAAATCGGTATTAATTTTCTATATGATCTCATTCCTTCTCTGTATGAACCACAATCTTCAGTTTGACAGTTGAAATTAAGGATGTTAAAGAAAATAATCTTTGTAATGAGGTTATATTCGACAGACATGAAATTTGAGTTTTGAAATTGAAAATAGTAGAATTAGAAAAAAGCAACTCAGAAAATTGAACCAAAATTTTCTTTCCAATTCCAGGTCGCCAAACACTATGTTTGGCAGGCATGGAATTGGAAATTTGGAATTAAAATAGATGAAATTAGAGAAAAACAATTCAGAAAATTAAACAAAAATTTTCTCTAATGCCACCAATTCCAATTCCAAGCTTCAATTTCATGCCGCCAAAACACAGCCTAAGAGTAGTAGTTACAAATTCCAACCCTATTCTTATTTTGTCTTTTTGGCCAATAAATTAGTAGTAAATGTCTTGGAAAAAATGACGTGTAATTCAACTGTTAGACTAATATGACTATTTGATGTGAATGAGAGTTGACGTGAGGTAGGGTCGACGTCATGTTAGCCCCCACTCACGTCAAACAGTTGGAGTCGTCCGATTAAATATATGTAATTATGTATATTGTTGATCCGAACAGCAATGATGGCGTGGAAGACAGTAGCAGCAGACAGGAACGTTCGGAAGTTTGTTCACATGTTTCTCAACTTGGTAGCTATTTGTCTGGGGATTGTTGGGATACATGCTGCATTCAAGTTTCATAAAAAGGAGAATATAAAGAATATGTATAGCTTGCATTCATGGATAGGCATGGGCACCTTTTGCTTGTTTGGCTTGCAGGTAACTAACAACACCAAAAACAAGCCTTTCCAGTTCATATTATACACTTTCTTACAAGGCTCAAAAGTGATTTTGACAATTTGTTTGCAGTGGTTGTTTGGTTTTTTCCTATATATGTTTCCAAAAGCAACACAAACAACAAGGGCAAGGGCGCTTCCGTGGCACATAAATGGCGGTAGAGCACTCCTGTACATGGCGATAATCGCTGCCGAGACTGGGTTGATGGAGAAAGTTACATTCTTGGAGATGCAGCATCCGAGGGAAGCTCGTTTAATCAACTTTCTGGGACTGGCAATCCTCCTCTTCGGCCTCACAACCGATCTTTCTATTGCTCTGGCTCGTTACGTTTAGTTTCTATCCTATTAATGTCATAAAACATACATTTGATTTACTTGTTTTTATGTTGTAAGTAAGGTTCATCAAGCAGGTTCCAGTGCCAATTTGGATCACGCACTTGGAATCAGTTGGATAAATTGGATTGTTGTGTACTTGTGTGTGCTTTCATTAATTCATGATTTTATTAATATATTCTTAGAAACAGAAAAGCAGAGTCTTGATTCTTTTCTTGCTTTAGAACATTTGCATCTGAATACCTTCTGGGGAAAAAGAAAAAAATTGCATCTGAATTAGCAAATTCAAGTACCTACCTAGCAAAAAGACACATTTAACAAGCAACAGAAAGAATCAATTTGAGTAGTAACATTCATCAGCAATCTATAGAATAGATCAAACCAATACCAACTTGACTTGATGGATTTGAATCCCTACTTCCATTTCACACCACCACCCCAACCTAAAAAAGGAAGTTCATGAACTGATCCGACTGTGCGGCCGGTTTAGCAATTTCTGAGTCCGGTTGCCGGACAAAGTAGCCAGCCAGCCACCATGTTGGATCATGAAACTACTTTCCTATACTCTGCCATTCCAAAAAGCTTGAAGCTTTTAAAGTCATATAGCACAACCTGTGAGAACCAGGTAGACTATGCCCTTTTACCTTTCACCACAAAGCCTTGGGACAATGGGACTCATAATTTTAAACACTTCAAAGAGTAGCTTACCATGGGATTTCTATTTTTATTTTTATTTTATTATTAATTTTTTTTTTCTAAGTGGTGTCTCTTCCTCCAAGATAGAAGGTTTTGTGCCAAAGGGACAAAAGGGTGCGTTTGTAATTTCATACCCACCCCACAGTCAGAATAGTTTATTTCATATTAAATTAAAAGAATTTCCAACTGTCAACTGTACAAGACGAAGCATTAAACATAAGATGATGTTACTTGTAAAATATGTCTCCAATGCATGACCTTCATTTTTTAACCTTGCTGGTCTCGCGTGCCCATGCGTCTATAGGTATCAATACATACATAAATATTCATATCTATATATTGAGGAACTCTATATAGTGTCCACGTTTTAATAATTTCTGTATGTACTTGGTTAGGAGCGTGTATAGAAAGTTTGGTAGGAATCTATCAGAAACATTGTTTAGCCGTGCGGACAATGCTGTTCCTTCCAAAACTACAAATTACAACTGTATGAATCACATACACTTCTCGGATTTGCCATCTTTGAATTAGCCGGCTGGACACGGTTTTTATATATATATATATATATTTTGTCGATTTTCATCTTATATTTGGAGACAAGACATCTCACATTGTGTATAACAACATTTTCATCACCTAGTTTTTCGTAGTTACTGACGTATTGAAACAATTAAGATTCCTCTGCATCCCCGCCTTCTACATATTGAGGATTTCAGGACCCTGCAGAACTCATCTCTCTCACTCACACACACACACACAAACAGAGAGAGAGGTGGAACAATGCCTTACAAAAGTCGTTCTAGCTTTCAACTGTCTGCGTTACCAGTTACCATCTTCGCACATTTGATAGTCATAGCAGTGACTACCCTTGTGCTCGTTTGGCTCCTTCACTTTCGGGAAGGCCTCGCTTTCAAATCAGTCATCAAAGCAAAGATTTTCAATGTAACTTCATTCATTGGACTACTTTTCAACACTCATATTCAATCATTTTTATATGTATGGTTCATATTTCTAACCGTCTATGTAATTTTATGTTTCTCTATTTTACAGGTGCACCCACTTCTAATGACAGTTGGATTCATTTTAATGGGAGGAGAAGGTAAGAAAAAGCCTAAAAAAATTATTCCAACAGCAGTCCATGAAAACAATTTTCTACCATCCACGTTCATGTTCTTTCTTTTAGAGGCTCGGTCTTTCCCATATCAAGATCTTGGTTCTGGAAATCATAAACTCAAAAGGTTGTAAATTAAGTTTAACCATGGAGTTTTAAAAATGAATATCATGATTATAAAAGGTATCTTTTGGGCATCACATGGAAAAGAAAGCAGACATCATCTGTATTGATAGTATTCATTGCATACAACAAACGGTAGTATTTATCAGTTTATTCAGATCATTCTATAAGACAACTGATTTTATTTTGTTTCTCTTCAAAGGCCATGGTTGGGATTTAATGGTGGCCTTTGTTTGTTGTTAGCATAAACTTCTTTTTACTTTATAGTTCTGTTTTCACCCTTATTTTGTAGTGTTGCTTCTTCTTAGGCATTTTTGTTGTTAACACAATAAAGACAAAAAGCAAGTTTGGACTAACAAGAATTTGATTTGAATCAGCTATCATGGCATACAAGTCAATCCCAGGAACAAGAAATGTGCAAAAAGGGTTTCACCTGACATTGCATTTCATCGCTTTTCTTTCTGGAATTGTTGGAATATATGCAGTTTTCAAGTTTCATAACGAGCTTGACATTCCAGATATGTATACCTTGCATTCTTGGCTTGGCATGTCCACCATCTGTTTATTTGGCCTGCAGGTAATAATACCTTTATATCAGATAAAAATGATATTAAAGTCGGTACATATATATTTACCACTAGGCTGACCGCTACAATGTGACCTTTGACAGTGGCTCATAGCTGCCTTCTCCTTCTGGTGGCCTCGTGCAGAGAAGCAGTCAAGGGCAAGGCTTGCTCCGTGGCATGTTTTCTTAGGCATGGTCATCTTCCTCATGGCAATACTGAGTGCTGAGACAGGTTTGCTGGAGAAATTTCTCTTCCTAGGCCTCTACCGCAGCCGAGAAGCAATGATAGTGAACTTCACTGGACTACTATTACTCATCTTTGGAATATCTGTTGGTCTCACTGTTCTCCTTCCGCAGAGTTAATAGCAAAGCTCGAAATTATGTCTATCTTCATGGCTCTTGTAAGTTGATTATGTTTGTAGACAATTTGCTAAAAATTTGTTATTGATTACTAGAATAATAATTCCATTCTAGTGAATGTTCAACAAACAATAATAGAAAGTAAAAGAGTGTCTCTATTTGTTGTGGGATGATGTTCCCTGTACACTTGGTAAATAAAACTTATGGTTACCAGTTCAGTTGGCTAGGATGGTATTCTGGGAAGTTTGTGAACGGGGGTGGAACTCAGCTCTCTGATATCCATACGGACCATACTTTCAGTGCCCGAGTGCCATTTGTTGATGATGATAGTCTTCATTTTTTTTCCCTGAGCTTTGTCAGCAGAAGGGTGGTAGTGATTGTGGTTGTTTTGGTCTATTTCGTATTACTAGGCCTCTGTTTGCTAAGAGGCGTGGCTAGATGTATTGGTGTTATCTTTCATTATTTTTTTCACCATTTCTGGGTTCTGGAAATGGTCGTTTCAATTGTATTGCGAGGGTATGCCCTCTTTGGCTGCCTTATATTCTTTCTTTTTTGGTTCAATGAAATCAATCTTAGGAGAAAAAATAAACTTATGGTTAGAAAAGTATGATGCTGAAGCCACAGAGCAATGTGTCACTTTATGACTTGTTTCATATTCCAAATCTATAACCAGACTAGTTTTCATGAACATCAAATGATTTAAGAAATCCCATAACCAGATTGAGTGCTGAGACAGGTAAATAAATCGATACTCAATACAACTGTGTTTTGAGACAATAAGTATCATGGAGCATAGGACCTGGGGACCATGTAATCTCCAGTTTCCAAGATACCATCTGGGCAAGAGCACCTGTGTGTGCGCGCATGCGTGCCCAGGCATGTGTGAACACTGAACTTGTAGTTGAAAAAATTCTTATATACTTGTTCGATCCTACACTAAGGACTGCTTGCAAGATTTAGGTATTAAGTCTGGGTTCCACACAACATTTAATTTGTCCTCATATGAAAATGTCAATAGAGAAAATAAAAAAGGAGGATAGAATATACAATAAATCCTTTCCTGTAACACTGACTTGGAAAATCCAATGCACCACCTGCTGCATCACTTCAGATCCAACCAGGTGGAATACACTGAAGTAGGATAACTGAATGTTCCTTTATTTCACCATACATTATGTAGCAAGAAAACAGACAACAGCTTGAGATTTAAGCACAGTAACTTACCTTTTGCAATAGATAATTCTATAAAGTTTTAACAGGTTCATATAGTCTTGTCAGAAATGATGTTTCAGACCTTTTTATTCGAACTGTCAATTTGCAATTCGATCATTCAGAAGGCAGAAGAAAGGAAAGAAAGTCTGAGATCTTACAACTTAAATAAATACTTGATTTGCATTCAAAGAAACACCAAATCCAAAATATCTGAAATCGATTTCACTTGAAAAAAAAAAGGGGGAAAAGAAAATTGCTATACCCAGTGCTGTTTTGTGGCCTCCATTCTCTCCAACAGACCTGCAATATCAGCTTGCATTCTCATCTTCGTCTTGGAGTAATCAAACTGTGAATGTTCTAAAATCTTAAGCTCCTCCAAATTTTTCCTTCGTCGCTCCTCAGTTTCCTGCAAACACAGTTTGAATTTGGCAAGCTTCTCAGCCTCTTCTTCCAATTTCTCACTCTTCATCCACACCATCCGCCTGTACCCCTCCGCTTCTCTCCGTGCTTCATCTGCTCGACTTTGGAACATTCTCACTTCCACTTCCTTAATCCGTACAATGCCTTCCAAGCTGTCAAAACCATCTTTCTTTGATAACTTAACCAGCCACTCATCTTCATCCACTTTATCGCTCACTAGGGAAACTTTCAGACCACTCTTATTGAAATCACGAGACAAAAAATCCTGGCTTCCACTTGAAGGGCTCATGTTGTAAAGGGAAGAGTTTGGAGGGAGAGAATTGGGTGCTGGAAGAGGGGCTCCATCCTTCCTAAGGCTAGCTTGAGTTCCTGTCAAGTCTTCCGAAGGGACACTAGTAGCAGGAAAGTCTGACACACCATCTGTATCTAATGATCACAAAATCCATCAGATTCATATGTCATGATACTATACAGCAAAGAAAGTATACTATACAGCAAAGAAAGTATACATATATGAAATAATCATTCATAGAGATCAAGCAAGATAAACAAATCTAATATAAAGATTAAAGCATGAGAGAGAAACCTGTTACAAGTTAAAGGGAGGAAATCTTCTAAAAGTGTAATCAACATCCAATTATGGTCACAGATCATTTTGAAAGCTAAGAATGTTTGTTGCCTGAGCAACCGCAAACTGAGCAAGGTCATATAAAAATGTATCCAGTAGTACTGAATTACTAAAATGTGAGTGTCTCTGGAGTTGCTACATTTAATAATACTATTGAACACAATCTTCTAATGAACAATATTTTTTTTTTGTCACAATCTTCTAATGAACTTAAAAAAGTAACACCTAAGAAGCTACTCCTATTGAGCTCTGTATGAGGACAAAACAGAAGGTTGCATATTTTCATTTTGAAACACAAGAAAACAAATACTAGTTTTTATTTTTTCCAAAGATTTCCAAAACATGCTTTACGTGACAAATGGAATTGCTCAAGTGGACTGGGCCACCAAGCTCAAAGACATGATTGCAAGTCCAAATTTTTAAAAATTCCCAATTGTTAAGTTCCATATCCTCTAAAATTCTATGGTTTTAGTTGTTTAATCTCTACTTCATAAAAGAGTTTCTTCTTGTATGGGTCTAAGTATTTCTAATCAGGGCATGCTTTGATTTGTTTCATTTGTTATGCTTTATTCGGTCATAAAAAAATTCCATCTCCAATATTACACGTCTATTTAGTTTCTAGTGGTTGGATATAGAGAATAATATCCGTTTCTCATTCATGTGGATATTTTTATACTGTTCTCCAGATATCATCCGGCCGATTTTATTCCCAATTATAGTCGTTTCCCAAATGTTTAAAACTTAGGTAGTTTGCCACAGACTACCTAACTATCGATATTATTCAGAACTTGAGCCTATCTTATTTTGCCTATCTGAATAGAGCAAGATTACTAAATACACAGTCTCAAACCCACCTAGCACCCTACAAGAAAAATCTAAAGCAGACATAGGCCACACAACCTCAGTCACTTCTTTCAGATTCCATCTTCATTCTGATTCCTCATTGGTTGACATCGTTAAAATGATAAGATCTAAGCACTCACACCATACTTTTTAATTTTTACCATCATTTTAATGTTTAATTTAAACTCTGATTTGGTTCTTCATCTGTTAACAGAGAATCTGTGATATGGTCAATCCAGCTTGGGTTGCAACCTGAATGCTATAGGTTGACACACTGCATTTTTCGTTGTTTTCCAGGGCTTTACTAGCAAACATTCTTTTCATACTAAGAACAATTAGCATTTCCTCAGTTTGAATGAAAATTATCATATCAGCTTTCATATGGAATTATGGATGCAGTTACAATTCGCATAGTATTAAATTTCAGCACTATCAAGTATATTTTGAAAGATAAGATTAACAAGCATACTAAGAAACCATCCTCATCTGAAAAATATCATGCATATTTAGGTCTGCCAAATGTAAATACTCAAAAAGAGAATTATCATGTCATATCCTTATTATCCCATAAATTTGGTTCTACTACCATAGAATGGTTTTGCTGTAAAAACTATTCAATTTCCAATACACTTGAATAAAATCATCCATTTTACCTATTTGAATTAATAAGGAGTAACTAATATAAATGAGAAGTAAAGTTCCATAAGCATGATCTGGAGACTTACGGTTGAAAAACTGAAAGATGAAATTGCAAACTTTTGAAGGAGACATCATTCTGTTTTCGAGCTTGCAGAGCATCACATCCGCCTTTTTATGCAGTTCCTTGCCTCTATAATCTTCACTTCCTTGAAAAATTTTCCTAACACAGTCAAGCTCCTTTATCAGGGTTTCTAGACCCCAGTCCTTTGCACAAGATATAAACACATCCTTAATGAAGCCAAACATCTCTGATGCATGACCACACCCGAGGCAGTGAAAATGCATCTCTGTAAACCCTGATGGCTCCTTTAAGCTGGGACCTGTTTTTATGAGATTCCTCTGAATGCCACAGGCAGTGTGGCACCAATGGGAACAGACATCACAGCCAACCCAAGTGCAAGTATTGTTGGCACAGTCAAAGTTCAAACAGACTGTACACATGCACTCACTGCAAAATCCCTTCTTTGTTGAGCATATCTTGCAGTCACAGTCATCAACAGGTAATAACCTCTTGCAATTCACATTTCGACATCTTTCAAGTAAGAAAATCTCCACTAGTTCGGTTGTGGGAAGGCAAACTTTGCCAGACAAGAAGCTTCCAAGAGCCATTTTTATTGCAACCAAAATCTCCAGCTGATTTTTATGAGACTTTGAGAGGGACTCTTTGGTAAGATCTGATCTTCTCTCAAGCCGGTTCTGGAAGACCAACAATTCATCTCTTTTCTCAGGTGTCCTGATGAGATTCTTTAAGTATTCCTTTGTGGATTCCACTGTTTCATCAGGAAGCTCTTGAATTATTTGAGCCATGACAGGAATGGACTCCGACACAATTTCCCAAAGAATCCTCTCTGGTCTAGAGATCTTACGCGCTCTCGCTCCATCTAGAGGAGTCTCCAAGCCTCTTACATGCTCAGAACGGTTTCCTCTTGAATCACCGGACCAAGTGTCCATCCCAGGCGTTGCAGGCAATTCAGATGGGAAAAATGAATGATTATCGGAGCTCATTGTTGGATAAAGAGTGTTAGATGAATCCTTATTGACAGGTTGCATCGATGAGAAACCACCACCACCATGATTGGACAATGCAACCCCATCTCCAATTGGTCTAAATCGACTATGAACTGAACCATTAGTCCCCTCCCCACAATTCCAAATTTGATCACACTCTCTCCTATGACTCCCCGGTGAATACTCATAATTCTCGGTTGAGTTTCGGGTCAGAGAGCAACTGGGATTGTGTGAAAATGGGTGAGAATATGAACATGACAGCGAAGCCGCAGTAAAATCATTAGAGTATGCGGTTAGGGTATTATAATTTGATGGCGCCAAAGATTGTACACTCCCACTAGGTTTCAACTGAGCAGGGAGATCAAAATTTTGTGCTAGAGAGAGTGATACATCAGGCAAAGCTAGAGAAAGATTAAGAGTCTCTACCTTTGGCTTCTTCTTCTCTTTATGCTCTCTCTTTATTTCTTCATCCTCAATCTCCCTCTTAGATGAATGTCCTCTTATCTCATTCAATTGTAAAAAATCTCTCTCTACCCATCTATTATCTTCTCGATTTTGATCAACTGAAACCACTTCCACTTCTTTTCCTTTGTAATTCAGTAAATTTTTTCCAGGAAACTGTTTTTCTGAAAAACCCAATTTGGAATTATCACAGAGATAACTCAAGGTCAGTTCTTGGGAGCTAAAATTCCCAGATTTTGCGGGTTTTGGTTGAAACCCATCCCGACCAGTCCCTAAATCTCCCAGAAAATCGATACCCTTTTCGGAAAATTCGATTTTTTCATCTGGGTATTCCAGATTTTGGTCGGAACTGTGCTCTTTGATCTTGCACGGAGAGTTATCCCCTACACAGAGACCATCACTTGAAATATCTCTCTCTTTCAACATGGTTACAAAAATTGGAGATAGAGAAAGATGAGAACGTACCAGAGACAGCAAAGTTCCGAAATTTTGAGAGAATCTTTGTCCTATGGTGTTGCTTTGATGCTCGTTGCTTTAAGTTAGAATACAGAAATAAGCCATTGTTTGAAGTTGATTTACTTCGGGTGGTCCCACGTTGTGCTTGTGTTGAAAACTTCACACACACACACACACACACACACACCCCACACACTTTCTTTGACCAAATCAATCTAAGAACGTTCACATTCAATAGCCAAAATAGTGATAATGGGAACAGAGCGACTCTATCGGACTCGTACTTACTATTAAATGTTAGACCTAGAATTTTATTTGGGTGACATAAAAGCATATAGTTTTGATTTGCGGGAATTTGGATATCATTTATTGGTCCAATGAATACATAACATGTTACATCTACAATTTCATCAATAAGTTACCACACTTCTGACTTTTGTGGACAATAATAATGTACAAAAACTAGTTAAAGCTCGGTACAAGTCAATGTTGTTTTCAAATATAATACTTGAGATGTGAAGGACACCTAGGTATAATTATTATTAAAAAAATATTTGTCAAATAGTTGTCAAATAACTGAGGAATTCAAAATTCTTGTGCTCTGTCTCGTAAGGACCGAAAAAACAGAGGTGAAGGGAAGATAAAGAAGGAATAAATAATTTTTTTTTTTCATTTGGAAGATAGGTGTGAAGGACAGAAAAGAAAAGATGATAGACGAGTCATTCTTTATTCTTTATAAATTTTTATTTCTTCGAATATAGACAAAAGACAAAGAAAAAATGACAAGGCTAAAAAAATTTCTCTTCTCTCGTAACAAAGGAAATAATGTATCATCTCATTCTCTTCTCTTCCATTCAACTAAACAAAATGAGGGAATGATACCATTTCTTCCCTAAATGTCTCATCTACCTATTTTTTTCTCTCTTCCATCCAATTTTCTTCCTTCGTACTTAGCCATGCGACTACTCTCTCTGCTGAATTTTGAAAGGTAATTAAAGGTTTAATTGTCAAACAGGTACATATTCATCTTTAATTTATTGCCCTATTCTTGATTTTTACTTTTTGACCGTTGTTTTGAAACTCAACAACCTTAATTAGCCGCTCCTGGTTAAACAGGTGATGCGTTTTGAATTACAATTTGCTAGTTTGGCTATGAAAGAAAGGAACTGTTGGGATTTATATGCCCTGGCCTAGCAAATTCTTGTTTGGATTAAGTGACATATGTTCCTGACGTTTCTGAAATATGTATGTTTTATACAATTGGTGAATTCAATGTATTATATTTCGATTCATTATAGAATTGATAGTGTCCATTTGATTACAAGAGATATTTATATATATGTATGTGATGGCAATCAATGCATGATATATAAATAGTAATCATAAATTGTTCATAGTCAGTAATTATGGATGGACTCATAATTAATTAAGACTTGAACTGGATCCGCGTTAGGATGAGATATATTGCGAGAGCCGTCGTATGCAATTGCTCCCTATCACCGTCATAGCATTTGACTCTTAAACATGAGAAAATTATAAACTCTTTTATTAATTAATAATTACTTTGATTTGTTCGGCGGATTCTTCGGGATCCTTAGACCGACACTTTCGGTAGTTATGTGATTAATAGTTAGAGGGTTATATTTTCAATATTTGCATCATTGTTACTTGTATTTATTTTGTATTGATTATGGTTGATCACAAAGTAAATTCGAAGGCCTTCGTATGGTTTTAGACAAAATGATTTATTATATATTTATTTATTAAATTATTATTTTTGTCAAACAAATGTTTTATTGTGATCGAGCCAGAAATAATCAATGGTACCAAAATAAATATATTAATTAAGTAGTCGGATTGATGGCATTATTTATCCGATAACTAATTATGCATAGAGGGGTCAAAGTGCAATATTGACTTAGAAGTTATTTATTATTTAATTGGAGTTCAATTAATTTCTTTTAGTGGAGTAGAAATTAATTTATGAATTAATTGAATTGGGTCCATGGATCGGGCCAATTATTAATTCATTGTAGCCAATAAAATAATAGGCCCAATGGATTCTCACTCATAGCCCAACTTGATATTGGAATCATATTAGATTTGAGACATATGAATTAGAGATTGAGAATGATTTATTGTTTCCTTTTCTTTATTTTTATGTTGCCTATAAATATACATGGCCTATGTATATTTTAGGGGTGATTTTTAGAAGAAGGAAAAAGGAATTTATTCTCTCTCTAGAAAATTAGGGTTTATGTTCTCATCTAATGGAGGCTCCCACAAGCCTAATTTTCCAAAGTCATTCATGAAGGCTTATAAGTGATTCCTAAAGGCAAAATAATTACCAAGAAGATGGAGATCCAAGGAGAAGACATCTTACTAAGGGATTTACAATAAGTAAGAACATTCACTTTAGAGGAAAGATTTAAAGGTTTACTCAGACCTTTGATGTAAGTATTCAATCCATTAATTGAATGATACATCATATTTTTATTTTTGCATAAAACTTGTCTCTATGTGATGAATCAAGATCTATGAATCAAAATCCCTCGAAAAGTTTTTAAAACTTGCACGTTTCCCAACAGTGGTATCAGAGCATGGTTTGATTCATTACTAGAGATCATGATTTTATGAAAATCATCATTCATGGATCCAAAATTATATTCATATATATTTTTATTGATGTATGTTGATGTATGATTTAATATGTTGATATATATTGATACATGATGATGTATAAATAATTGTGAATGAATAATGATGTATGGTTGGGCCATGGATGAAACTTATAGGTTAAATTAATGTAATTTTATATTTGGATAAATGTAATTAAGGCTTTGATTTAGCCGTTTGAAAGTTCAATGATGTAATTTAATTTTTTCCATTGTATTTCAAATTATAAATTTATTTAAAGCCATGTAATATTTATTAAAGGGTGCTATGAAGCTTCAAGAAGGTCCAAAAGGGTTAAATTAGGCTTTAGGAATTTTCTGGAATTTTTCCGGAATTTTTCAGAATTTTTCTGGAATTTTTTGAGCTTAATTAATATTTTCTGGAATTTTCGGCGTTTTTTCGGCGACCGGAAAGTTGTCGGCAGCGAGGGCAGCACCGGAGGTGGGAGGCTGATCAGATGGGTTTTGAGGCGTCCAATTGTGTCTGGTGGCACGTGGGATCGAGTTACAGCCTCCTGCAGGTATATACAAGCATTTGGAAGACCCTTGTGCAGTGATTAGAGTAATTAAATGTTAAAAGCTAAATCCATTGGCCATTTAAATTGCTTCTGTCTGTTATTTATTTATTTAACTGATGCATGGAATAATTAATTGTTTATTATTATTATTTATGCATTGGATCCATGATATTTAATTAAATGACTTGATTTATATTAATTAAATTATGAAAATTAATTGGATTTGATTACTAATTAATTTGAGTGCACTTATTGGGGAAACGAAAAATTATTTTTGTAAATTATTTTTGAAGTGTGCCTCAAATTAAATATTAGTGAATCATTTAAGTCCAAATATTTTCTAAATTTAATTGGATTAAAATCAAGACGTTTTGCATACATTATATCATGTAAATGAATAAATTCAAAAACTTAATTATGAATGATTAAAAATTGAGTGGGAGCGGGGATTTTTATACATTATCCCATGGCCTTCGTTATTAAAACTATTGTAATTAAATCTTCAAAAATAAGGCCCCACGCATGATTTGAAGAGTCTTAATATTACAAGAAATGGTTGTCTCATGAAAATAATAATATTAAATGTTCATTGTAATTAGATCTTTAAAAATAAGGCTCTACGCATGATTTAAAGAGTCTAGATTATAATGATAAGATATTTAATGTTTTATTTTTCAATAGAGCATTAATAACGTTATACACTCAATCTAAAATCAATAGTGTTAGCTCCCCAGTGGAGTGGTCTACACTAGGTGATTTTAGAAAGGCTAAACATAATCGGGAATCATTTCATATAGATAGACAAGGCATTGTCTTAAGAGATATGGAGATGATGGGATTTGCCCGCCAATAGCAATAATGAACTTCGCCAACCGAATAAGTTATTGGCGTATTGGTTATCCGATTTTTCATGCATTGGTTAAGGGACCCACATACTATTTTAATGGAAGTGCTCGCCTAATAGTAAATGAATCTCAACAATAGTAATAATGAACTTCTCCAACAGGATAAGTTATTGACATATTGATTGGTTGATTTATTATGCTACAGAGTTGAGGGACCCGCATTAATTAAAAGGGATTGTTCACCAATAATGATAATGATCTCTTGTTCGATTGAGATTTATTATATTATGTGGTTAACAAACTCATTTTAATTTTAAATATGTATGATAGTATTAATAATTCACCTTACATATCGTATGAATGCATTTATATTCAGATGAATTATGTCTAATCCATTTTTCTGCTTGCTTACATATTCTATGATATTGGACCTCATTTATAATGACTGGAAAAGGAACTTAGATATTTTATTCACGACGTAAGGGTACAAACGTATTTACTACTCCTAAACCTAATCCTTTTACTTTAAGATACCCAAGAGAACATTAATGCTTTGAATAAGTGAAATAAGGCAAATGTGATGACTTGGTGCAATATTCTAGAGTTTACCTCGAATACGCCCCAAAGTTAACATTTGCATTATTTTATTTTCTTCAAGCATCATGTTAAATGTCAATATGATGTTTTGGTGAGATTAGATAGGGTGTAAGCCTACGTACTATGTCAGACTTGAATACTATCAAGATAGCCTAAGGAACTCCAGTATGAAATCGAATTCTGGAAAATGATTGTTTATTATTTAAAAATTAGCTGGAGATCAATAGGGCTGACTTGGGTGGTAAGTTTCAAGTTGACGTGATTATTGCCTTGTTACCAAACTCGTTCGACTCTGTTAGAGTGAACTAAATAAGGAATCAGTTTGAGTTCACACTTGCTGATATTCTTATAGAATTGGTAACAGATGAAGGGATAATCAAGAGTATGGGCGTTCCTATCAATCTAACCTAGTCTATACCATCTTCTTCTAGGCCCAAGTGGACGGGCAAAGTAAAGAAGAAGGATGATAATAGGACTAGGCTAGCACAAAACATGAGTATCCAAAAGGTTAAAGGGAATAAGGCAGTGTATGTTGAGGGCAAAGAAAACTGTTTCTTTTGTCCCTAACTAAGACACTAAAGGACAAACTGTCTAAGCAATGACGTGGCATAGGAAAATATATATTTAATCATTGAGTCATATTATGTGGTTGTATCTATTAATTCCCGATGAATAGATTCTGGAGCCACTAAACATGTTTGCAATTCATTGCAAGGATTTCAGGAATCCAGAAGTCTCGATGATATGGAATATATTTGTACTTAACCTGATGTCAAGGTTGTAGCTAAGTCAGTGGGAGTATTACATATGAAATTAGAGAGTATGGGGATATTAGTATTAGAGAACTATCTTTATGCACAGAAGTTAGATGCTATCTAATTCTTGTTTCACTTGTGGTTTATAAAAAATGTGTTGTTATTTAGTAAAACTGGTTTTATAAAATTGAATAGATATGCGATTGCTTCTGGTGCATTGAAAGATAGTTAATATACTATAATCACAAACTCTTAAGATTTGCAGGATGTAGAAACTAATGTTGCATCTTCTAGATTGAATGTTAAGAGAAAAATTGTTATTCCTGACTCATTGTATTTTTAGCGTCTATTTTTGGGTTGTAATCAGTCAAAATGAGATTCAAAGATTGGTCAAAGAAGGTTAATTACCTAGTGAGGCAGAGGAGCCTAAACCAAACTTGTGAACTCTGTTTTGAAGGATAGATAACTCTTAGGGCTTAATCAGCCAGATGAAATAGACATAAAGGACAATTGGAGTCAGTACACACTGACACGTGTGGTCTTATGAACATCGAAGCAAGATTACTCACGTTTTGGAGAAGTTTATCTGATGCAACACAAGTCTTAAACTCTTGGTATATTCTGAGAAGGTCAAGACTGATGTGGAGCACAGATTAGGTAAACTTATTGAGATACTTCGATCTGATCGAGGAAATGAGTATTTCTTGGGATAGTGCAAAGACTATATGGTCAATGAGGGTGTTGTGTACTAGTTTTCCGCAATTGACGCTAAATGCATTTAGGTGTCAAATAGGAATAACAGAATTCTACTTAACATGGTTAGATCTATGATCAGTTATGTCACATTATCTCTTTCATTTAAGAGTTTAGCATTAATGACATCGATGCGCATAATGAACTGCATTCCATCTTAGTCTGTCTCAAGGATATCGTTGAGCTATGTTTTTGACTAAATTTTAGTTTGAATTACATGCACATATGGGGTAGTCTTGCACATGTGCGCTTGATATGGACAAGTAAGTTGGAAACAGATCATACGCATGATAGATTTGATAGCTACTCTAAAGGTCACTAGGACGGATTATTTTATGATCTCAATGATAAAAGTTGATTGTTTACACTCACTGTTTATCTATAGGAGAATCATATTATGAATCATATACCTAGTAGCATAGTGTTAGAGAATATGGTATGAGTACCAGATGTACCACATATGAACACACTTATTATAATAGAGATTGAGAATAATATATGAATTCCCTATTGATGCGTTAGCATCATCTAGTACACAGATTCCTGCATCGGTACATTGATGTAATGGGAGGATTATCATCCAATCCGATAGAATCATGTTTTTAGGTGAGACCATTATGGACATCCCTGTTAAACATGAGTTGGACCCAGTAAGCTACACGAAAGCGTGAACCGATATGGATACAGATCGTTTTGGCGAGTTACTATAAAATCAGAGTTGGAATCTATGTATTCTAATAAATTCTGGGATCTTGTAGAACTTTCTAGTAGGGTGATACCTATGGAAGGCAAGTTAATCTACAAAAAGACACCAGAAGATTTCTTAGTGAATAAATCATGGGTGTACAAGGGAATGTCATTATTTTTCTTAATTCTATATATATTGATGACATCCTACTCATTTATAATGAAGTGGAAGTTTTGTCATCAATAAAAAGGTAGTTGTTCAATTATTTTTAAATGAAGGATTTTCAAGATGTAAGCTATATTCCTAAGATCAAGCTTTTGTAAGATCAGGTTAAAAGGAAAATAGGCTTATCTTAATAATCCTACATTGATAAAGTTTTGACCAGGTTTGGTATGCATAACTCAAAGAATGAGTTCTTGCTTTATTGATATGGATTGCTCTCTCTAGTAAGTAGTTTTTCAAGACTATCAAAGGAGATTGAGCAAATGAGACTGGAATAATATGCTTCGGCATATGAGAGTCTCATTTATGCCATGGTCTATACCAAACAGGACATCCGCTACATAGTAGGTATAGTCAGTAAAGATCAGTCCAATACTGGACTTGACAACTGGTCTGTTATGAAAAATATCATTAAGTACCTAAGGAGAATCAATGATATCATACTCATTTATGGATGTGATGATATGGTCCTAGTCAGGTATGCTAGTTCTGATTTTCAATCAGAAGTAGATACTATGAGGTTCATGACTTAGTGTATGTTCACTTAATGGAAGGGAAATCAGTTGTTAGATTGTCAAGCAGATTTCAACTATTAACTCAAACCTGCAGGTGGAATATATTGCAACCTTAAAGGCGGCAAAATAAGCCTATTGGTTTGATCTCACTGATTTAGAGGTTGTGGAGCATACTAGCCTGCCTATCGAGCTATATTGCGACAATAGTGCAGAAGTAGTCCAAACCAATGACCCAAGGTTCCATAGATGAACAAAATACACTGATAGGAAGTATCATGTTCTACATGATATTGTCCGGTAAGAAAATGTACTTGTAGCTAGAACATTGTATTGGAACACAACTTTGTTGATCCATTATCAAAGGTGTCATTGATCAATAATTTTGATTATCATCTGGATAACATTGGAGTTAGGTGCAATTTGAATTGGCTATGTGGGCAAGTGGGAGCTGTTGGGATTTATATACCCTGGCATAGCAAATTCTTGTTTGGATTAAGTGACATATGTTCATGACGTTTCTGAAATATGTATGTTTTATACAATTGGTGAATTCAATGTATTATATTTCGATTCATTATAGAATTGATAGTGTCCATTTGATTACAAGAGATATTTATATATATGTATGTGATGGCAATCAATACATGATATATAAATAGTAATCATAAATTGTTCATAGTCAGTAATTATGGATGGACTCATAATTAATTAAGACTTGAACTGGATCCGCGTTAGGTTGAGATATATTGCGAGAGCCGTCGTATGCAATTGCTCCCTATCACCGTCATAGCATTTGACTCTTAAGCATGAGAAAATTATAGACTCTTTTATTAATTAATAATTACTTTGATTTGTTTGGCGGATTCTTCGGGATCCTTAGACCGACACTTTGGGTAGTTATGTGATTAATAGTTAGAGGGTTATATTTTCAATATTTGCATCATTGTTACTTGTATTTATTTTGTATTAATTATGGTTGATCACAAAGTAAATTCGAAGGCCTTCGTATGGTTTTAGACAAAATAATTTATTATATATTTATTCTCGCTCTAGAAAATTAGAGTTTATGTTCTCATCTAATGGAGGTTCCCACAAGCCTAATTTTCCAAGGTCATTCATGAAGGCTTATGAGTGATTCCTAAAGGCAAAATAATTACCAAGAAGATGGAGATCCAAGGAGAAGGCATTACTAAGGGATTTACAATAAGTGAGAACATTCACTTTAGAGGAAAAATTTAAAGGTTTACTCAGACCTTTGATGTAAGTATTCAATCCATTAATTGAATGATACATCATATTTTTATTTTTGCATAAAACTTGTCTCTATGTGATAAATCAAGATTTATGAACCAAAATCCCTCGAAAAGTTTTTAAAACTTGCACTTTTCCCAACAGGAACATCGTAACAAATCCATCCATCAACATACAATTGCCCCAAATTTGCAATCTTTGAAAATAAAAAATCATCCAATTTCCGAAAGAAAATAAAATCAAAATCATCCTCATGATCTTGAATAGCAGCAGCAAAAGCATGATTAATCATCCGACACCAGAAAAACTGGTAAATAAGAAAAAAAGGTGGCCAAACAAAAAAACGAAAGCTTGCAGCCACAGCCAATTCTTTTCTAACTGTACAAAGTAAACACAGAATTGAGTAGCAAATTTAAGAGAACTATGAGGCCAAAGTTTATAAATATATAAAAAAGTAAAACTAAAAAAAAAAAAGGGCAAAAAAAAGAATCAAAGTTTCAAAGTGAGATCAGGTGGAGAGGAATCTGTCCTTGGTGCTGGAGCCATAGCTACAAAATTAGAGCTTGAACTCTGTCCCAAATCAAAGCCCAGATTACCCCTAACTCCCTCGCCAATTTGCCGAAAACTCCCAGGCCAAAACAGCTCAGGTTCGTCATCTTCTATAAACATTGGCAATCCAAAGTAACCTTGTGGTTCAAACCTTGCTCCACCTCTCGTCTCCTGCAAAGGCCTATCTACTGGTACCATTCTTTGATGCATTGAAGAGTGAGCTTTGATCCCTAGGGACCGATATGCAGAACCGTGAAGGGGAAGAGAAGCCAAGCTAGCATATCTATCAGATAACATCCCCATCCGCATTGCTCTCTTCGCCAGTGTCCTTTCCCTCTTGTGTGCATTCTGGTGGCCTCCCAGAGCCTGTGAGCTGTAAAACTTGCGTCGACAATAATTGCAGGAGAAAATTCTGGGTATTGTTGTCCCTGGAGTAGGGGCTGCTGCTTCACTTCGAACCTCACCAGTGCCCTTCAACTCGGCATCACTGGCATTGAACTTTAGTGTCAAGTCAAGTAAGACAGGCCCAGGATCTGGTTGAAGTAGCATTGGATTTGTGAGGCAGGAAGAAGTAATGACTCTGTCCCTCGGGGAATCAGGGGAGATTTCTTGGATGGATATGTTGGAAGACACATGGCTGCTCACTTCAGACTCATCTTTCGATTCGAAATTCAAATTAGGAGGCTTCATGGTGGGAAGAGCGGTGAAGGTAGTAGCTTGGTTCGTTTCCACGTTAGTGCAACCACAAGGGTGTTCTTGATCCAACTAGTGGCAGTGGTTAACTATATCTTTGCCTGCATGTATGAATAGATTACTTGCCACATCGATGTGAAATTTTCAAACAAGCACACACAGATCTTCCCTTGGATTAGGGACAGGAATTTTTCTAATATATATCATCAAGATGAAAGAACTACAGAAAACAGTTGTGAACAAATATTATTGTTATTACAAATTAATAGTTATAGTTGTTGATGTCGGTTAGATGGTTCAATACTTATGGTATGTTGAACACTTAGTTTAGTAAATACTTGTTAACAAAACATGTATCTAAACATGAATGCCAGAACCACATTGGATACTTAATAGCTGATAGTTATATGCCCACCGCTATTAATTTGCTTTCCATAAGCAGAAAAAATATCCAGAAAAAGTATTTTAGTCATGAGATTGACAAAGATGTCATTATCTGCAACTCATATAGTTTATTAATGGTTAACGCATCACCGTTTATTGGACATGCATGTAAAGTGTGTTTCTGACAGAAACTATATCTGACACGTCCCCATCTCCTTTGTATCAAAGCAGCTAATTCATGCATTTATAGCCTCCACCTAACAAGCCCTTCAAGATTAGTTTCGTTTATTAAATCTTACATGAAGAAGACTCATCCAAGTATGAAACTAGAACTCTACAAATATGTCACTCAATAAACGAGATCTACACTGGTGTCTAAAAAACACAAGTGAAGATTTCGCAACATGGAACTTCTTCAACCTAGGCGCTTCAATTCCACAAATACGATTAACTGTAACTAGTAATATGAAATCTCCGTACTATTCTATCCATACAGTTATGAATTACTGTATAATGCTGAATCTCCATTCTATTGATAGATATTTCGAATGTTCTATTGCCCATCTCAAAAATGTTTCATCAAAGAGGTTCACAAGAACTACTTAAGAAGAGACGTAATAAGAAACGTATTCAAATACATAGCATCACACAAACTAAAACTTCAATTCCTCCCACACGATTACTAACACATAGTCCTATTTTTAAATGACAAGAATAGTAGATAAGAGCACTACACTACTAAGATGGAATACAGGCTTCTCAGCATGCTTGAAAAGGATAGAGAACACCTTGTATCCATTTCCTTTCTACCTTAGAAAAGAATCTCCACTAGGATGGTAAACTGTCAGATGCTGTTATGGTAAACTTTTAATCAGTAAAGCAGTATTCGAGTAAAAATTCAGCAAGGAAATGAATTCGAAAAACAATCAACAATCCCAAGGGGAAAAAATTCTCAAGAATGATTTTGAACTTGGCCTCAGAATGTTGGAATACCAATCAAGCGGAAGAATGTGTGAAATCAGTCATATAACAAATCATCTATATTCTACCAATAATGCGGAAAAATATAAGTTTAATATTACTCATTCTTGCAATTGATGCTGATGGCCAGAAAATATGCAGTCTACTGTGTTGAAACCATATAATTTTTTAACTTTAAACAAAATTAAAGATGTCCAATATCCCTGAACTAAATTAATTACGAAGGCTGTATGATATCTCGAAGTATGAACTAAGAGACCAAAGAAATGAGGACAGAGTTGATGAAATTAGATATCTTCTTTCCAAACAATTGAAACAGACAGAAGCTTCTAAACTAAAACAGTGTTTGATATACATCAGCATCTTAAGGCAGGCATCTATTTTTTCCCCCAATATCCAGTAAAAGAAAGATGAAATTTTGTTTGCTTTAACTTGAATGTAAGCAAGGAAAAAAAACATTGATGTGAGGTATATATTAGCACTTTTCTATCTGATGTATCCATCATACTGATTTTGATACCAATATTATCCAAGTAAGGACATCACCATTATTGATCCCCGTTAATCAAGGGTGCTCGGAGGGGCCCCCATTCTTACACTACCAGCCTGAGCTTTCATCACTGCACCAAGCAATGGCCCCACCAATATCATCCAAGTACTTTCCTAAAAGCTGCATTTTCTGAGTGTAAAAGATCAGGGGGACATAAGAAGAGGAAGAGTAAACTAGTTTATTTCATGTGAAGTGTTAACTTGTTTTCTTTGAATGAGTGAAGTGTATTACAGAAAGCAATAAAGGGTCAAGAAACCGTGTATATAGGATGCACACAATCCACACAAAGAAAACTCTAACTTCGTGTCTCCTAAAAATTCAACAAAAATATAAGTTATAACAGAAGATTGCCCCGTGATATGGAACAAAATGTAAAAATAAAAATAAAAGTAAAATAAGGAGCCGAATATCAAGTGCTTTAAATAGGCATTGGTGCTTTCCCACCTCATCAAAACACTAAACATTCCTCTACCACCAAATGCTAGTCAGACCACATGGGGCTTCAATTAGAGAGATCAAAGGAAAGAGAACCCTTGTCTCTGAATCAATAGATGACTCGGAGGCACTCCACCCCTTTTACACATGCAACATCAATTGATGACTCGACTTGATTCCATGATGAGATTATCAGTAATCAGAAACATTCCTAACATAATTTGAGATAGAAAAGGCCATAACATAACAGATGAGTAGTCCCAAAGATTATTTTACCACTGTGTGACTATAATTAGCTTCCAAATAGGCTAAAATTGATCCATCTTTCACAGCGATGATCCATATTAGATAGTTAACTACTATCTTCCCATTAAACTAAAAGGCACAATAATCAAACATGTGTTGAGTACAATACATATAAGAGAGAGCATATCTTATATATAAAAAGGGCTTCAAAAAAAGGATCCTAGAGCACCTCAGTTGCCAAGAAAACGATGCATTTGAAATTAGCCCTAATAGAGACCCTAAAGAATCTATTTCAAGATGTCACATGAAGTTCAAAACAGAAGCTAATCGGAAAACCTAATCACACACACACACATGCAGAACTCATCAATAACTTCCAATATATTCAACCAAGAAACAAAATTGAGAAAGAAAAAACCAAACATCCCCAGATTAACTACAGTAACACACAATTAATACATCATCTATCATAATCAGAAACAGAGGGAAAAGGGAACATATATATAAAGAAAATCCAAAGCATCCAAACTAATCTATCAAGTAAAACCTATAAGCCAACGAAGAAATCAGGTAATAAGAATGAAGAATTGAAGAAATAGTTAGTTGAAATTGCATACCCTTGTTTGAGTGATGCTTCTTGTGGGTATTTCGTTTGTTGCCAAATATGGTGAGATTGAGGTTGAGGTGAGCTAGCTAGCTAGGAGGAGGAGGAGGAGGAAGTAGATGGAGATAAGATCATGAAGAGAAAGAAAGAGAAAGAGAAAGAGAAAGAGGTATAATAATGGAAAGCAGAGGAGAGAGAGAGAGAGAGAGAGAGAGAGAGAGAGAGAGTGGTAGGACGTCAGAGAAGTCAGAGAAAAAAAGCAGATAACACAGTAAACCACTATTTGTGTTGAAATTTGAGTACTACAACTACTACAGATGAAAAGCAATACTAGAGACACTCAGAGAGAAATCAAAGAGTACTTAGTGCAAGTCCCACCAAAAAGACACATACATACGTGCGTTGTCTACCATAATCAGTTCATCTATTCTTCTACTAGTGAAAGCTTTTACAGATTCTCTTTATAAATTTTACCACACCTTTTTTTTTCCCCTCTCAGATGGTCACCCATAACTCCTCCATCACCAATCAATTGCTCTGTGCAACGACAATTGACATATTCACATGATCCCTGAATAGGAATAGCCCCCCATATACGTATAGATATATATACACACGCGCAGGCGCGCACACCCAAGAATAACTTCTTAAATATATTTAAGGATTATCATGTTTGGTGTAAAAACCGTTTGATATAACTAATATATTTGTACTTAAATCATATTCAACGGTCTAACGAGTAAATTTTATATCTACAAGTTAGCAAGAGATTATTATAACAAATATGTGTATATATATTATGATTTCTCATATAGGTCGATTCATAATTTTTTTTAAAAATTTGATACTATTACATATTTTTATGAACAAGTTGATTTGATAAATTTACATTAATATTTATTCAAATTCGTTCAACAGCGAGATATATATTGCAGTTGCATTTATATATATATATATAACTAAAGTACATTTTTAACCACCCATGCCATGATGTATAGTCCAATTGAGGCCACTCGCTAGGCAGACAAGGGCAGGGACCACACACATCTTTCGAAGCAGCCCCCACTAGAAATGTGCTTATTATCGTCCAACATGTCATAAAGAATACCGAGTGTGAAAAAGGGTCTAGATAAATAAAGGTATGGCATAATTTTGTACAAAGTATCTAGTCGATCTCATGTTCCATCGTGCAATTCTCAAGTTTGTGAGTTCAAAAAAGAAGACTGAAGACACAAACAAATTTCTGACACGGACATGCTTTTGAATTATGTGACTGTACTCGTCATAATCAGACTTGCATTATAACGGTTGTTATAATGAGTTTTTATACACTGCGCAACTTTGAAATATATATATTTCTTACCTCCCACTGGCCAAAAATATATATATATGTAAGAACAAGAATTTTTTATTTTATTTTTTTATTTTTATTAGGAAGAAGATAGTCTCCACGGTGAGTGGGAATCAAGTGTAGTGGTGGATCCCACATTCAACTTTAGATCAGAATTAGATGTCCGCAATACGCTATTCTTGCGTAGGTTTTTTATTTTTTATTTTTTATTATTATTATTTTTTTTGTTAAGTGTTGACAAAAGCTATTAAGTCAGTATTGTTACTCACTTTTTAAGTTGAAAGTCAAAATAAAAATTCTATTTTTTTTATTTTTATTTATTATTATTAATTTTTGGTTGTGGCAAGTAATCTATTCACCTTTCATTTGTTAAGCCTTTATAATTTTGAAAACAAAAACTGAACCAAATAATATTTTTACTGCTTTCAGAATTATAAATCAATATATTCACTTTTTTATATGATATATTAATTGTTTGAGCAAAAACTAAATAGATTTTAAAAAAACAAGAGATGTAGTGTAATGACATTAAGTTTGTATTTAGTGCATCTCTCCTAACCATTTCAATTAATGGAGAGAATTATAGATTTTATATATTCTTTTACAGCCATGGGTAGAATAAGAGTCTGGTTAATTTAGTATAATCTTCACTTTGCTTCCATTTGGTTATGCAAATAGATAAATTAATTTGTTCATCATTTATTTATTTATTTTATAATTTACTGAATTATGAAATATTTTAAAAGGAGAGACAATGTTGGTATTTAAAAAACTAATCAGGGCATTGTAGCATTATTGTAAACAAATTTTACGACATGAGAATTAATTATTAAAACATCAATTGCTTGAATTTCTGAAAAACAATTATTATGACAACACTAACCAACACTAACCAAAACAAAAAAAAAGTACAAGACTTGAAGTGGTCGTCCCAGTTAGAGCCGACAGCCTCATGTTGACACTTCAACATGCTTCTCCAAAGATACAAGGTAAGAGGCCCCCAATACACAGGACTCTCTCTCTCTCTCTCTCTCTCTATATATATATATATATATATATATATATAAATATATAGATGCACATTGGCAGCAAGTGCCCGTCTTCCCACAAATGAAAAAGAAGTAATTGATGAACTGGTCCCCGAGCCATGTGTACGTGTGTGTGTGTGTGTGTGTGTGTGTGTATATATTGCAAACTTACAGTCAGTTGGAGCTTTATTTGTCGAGGCTGGAGCACTAAGTTTAAAGTGATAATAATAATGCTCCTAGTGAGCTTAATCATGCCTTTTCCCTACCCCAGTTAGATCCTCATAAGATCATCTCACTGTTTTTGTTTTGTCTTCTTTCTAATTATCTTTTCATTGCTTCTTTATATATATATATATATAATAGTATATATATATAGCTTTTTTGATTATATATATGTTGTTTGGTTGCATCTAGAAACTAGGAAGGTGTTAGTGGAAGGAATGTTGATTAGCTTTATCAAGTGCATGTATCGAGCCCATAACCCTCTGTTTTTTATTACTATTTCTTGCATGTTTGTTTATGGTCTTTTGTTTGCCAAAAATAAAAAATAAAATAAAATGTTTATGGTCTTTTGCTAATCAATCAATCAACACAGCATGATCAGTCAGTAAGCCAAGTGGGATTCCACACTGGACTTATTGGCTAAGGCCCATTTACTCAAGAATTGGGTTGGAAGTCCATGGGTATCACATAATCCAATTCCCCAACCATTTAATGGGCCTGGGTGAACCATTTTAAATAACTGATTGAAAATCGGACCTCCTCCTGTACAGGGTTGGAAGTCCATGGGTATCACATAATCCAATTCCCCAACCCTATCTCCCTAATTTCACCACTCCTAAGCCATTAATAGTTTCTTCATCTCTCTCTCTCTCTCTCTCTCTCTCTATATATACATAAAATTTATGACATGAGAATTATGAAATTTTGGAGTAATTTGTGACAGTGGTTAGTATTGTGGTGGGCAGATGGCGTTTAGAGGACGAGGGCGTGGACGTGGCGGAGGGCCCCTCTACGGTCATCATGCTAAGCAAGAACCTTTTCTACTTTTTCCGGTAACTAACTACCTGTCTGTATCATCTCATATATATATATATATATATATATATATAGACACACACTTCACCCACTTATAAGTAGTTTGTAATGAACCAACTCTTTGTTTTTGAGTAATAAGATAAGAATAACCTCAACGCATGCTAATTTTGGCCTAACTCTTCTTCCTCACGTGTAGTCAAAATAAACCTCAACGCATGCTAATTTTGGCCTAACTCTTCTTCCTCACGTGTGGTCAAAATATAGCTCAAGTCTCACTCTGATGATAAAGTTAAATATACAAGGCACAAAAAAATTAAAATATCGATATCCCAGTATCCCACTTAATTTCATTTTCTGTAAACCAGTCCTAAATAATTTTTAATGTTGCGTTTGAAAATACACTCCTAACCTTAGAATTGGAATTGAAGTTTAATTAAAAGTTTCAAGTATATATCTTTCAATCCCAAATTGATAGACATAAGCTATGCTCGTAATCATGGAATTAGAATTGAAAAAAATTAGTTAAAATTTTGAACTATTTTCTCTTCAATTCCATGTCAAAAGCACAATGCAACTCAACCAAAATTGCCTTCGGCTGTGTTTGGCATGGAGCCTTGGAATTAGAGAAAAATTTGGTTTAATTTTTTGAGTTGTTTTTTTCCAATTCCACCAATTTCAATTCTAAAGCTCCAATTCCATGCCTGTCAAACATAGCCTTAGTAAATTCTCTAAAATTGAAAAAAGTTCCCAAATTTTTAAAAAAAGGGAGTCCTACTTTCATTTCTCCTTCAAGCTCTGCTGATTAGTTTGGTGTCAAATGTCAATGCATGTATCCACAACTACTTTATTTATTTTTCTGTTAGTTAATGTAGTGCTATAGGCTACTGCGTTTGCCAATGGTCTGCTGATTACTTGAATAAGATAGAATAATTTTTAGCTCTTTGTCTAATTTTTCGTATTTGTTATTGAGTTTCATGTTTGCAGCAGTGTTCTTTCAGCTCCATCATGCTTGTGTTGTAGTTTTAAACTTTTAAGACATCTACTCACTTAATTGTTTTTTGTTTTGGTATTTTGATCTTAATTGCATCCTAATTGTGTTGTCAGTTGTCAAGGAAAATGAAACCACATGGGAGAAGCCCAAACTTGCAGACTTCGTGATGATTAGCAATGAATATGTTCCTGCTGAATTAGTCACAGGTTTTGCCACATCAGGGAAAAAAAATTTAAAAAAATGGGAGTGATATATAATGTATACTAGACAATATATTTTATCTTAGTTTTGTTGCTTTCACATCAGTTTAACACCAGTAGACACTGTTCTAATGATGTAATGAATGCAGAATCAAAACAGCAGAAAAGGGATTATAGTGGCAAAAAGGAAGTGCAATGGAAATTGAATCCAGATTCAGGTCTGATTAGACAGAATCTATTTGTTTTGTTTCTCTGCTACTTATCTTTTGGGGTGATCATCTTTTTCTTATTTACGAAATCTTTTTGCTGAACTAAACCCTTTATATGGCCCCAAAATATCTTTGTTAGTTCACCAGTAATGGAGACTCAGCATTGTTCTTTAATATTAGGTCCATTTGTTTCAAATGATTTTAGCGCAGAAATTTGGTAAATTGTTTAGATGGCACCGGATTGCAAAAAAGGTATTAGGATTAAGAGGATGTGTATGCAGATTCCTGTGTTAGAACTTAATTAGAAATGAACTCCTCTGGCTAATTTTGAACTTCTGAATTTGCAATCATCCTTTTGTGATGGGTTGTGGTTGTGGAATACGGTTGGGTTATTTCGTTATTTGTTTCGAGGTTTATTTGTGGGGAAGAACTCCTCGAAACGTGTATTATTGTTGAAGTTATGTGTGGGAAAATCTTCTCAAGATGTGTTGCTTGTTTCGAGTTTTATCTGTGGGGATGAGCTCCTCGATAGGTAAGACCGAGAAATATTGATCATGTGGAGACCTATTGTTATTAACATGTGGAGCTTACATGGATGCCACTGTTAGAACACCGATTGTCTCAAAAGTTTAAGTTGTTAGAAAATGACACAGCAATATATATCAAAAGTTCCACCACCCTTCCTTCACGTGCAATCTCCTCTTGCAAATGTAGAAGCAAATAGACTCAGATTTTGTCAATATTGACACATCTATCCATCTTAACAATTAGTAAAAGAGTAGCTATGCAATCATTTCTTATACTATTTTCAAGGATTTTTTGAAGCTTTTCATAACTTGACTGTCTGAATTTGATTAGGCTGAATAACATTATATGTAAATTTTAAATCGCAGGGCATCTAAATCTTCATTTTTGTTGTCCTCATTTTTTATTTGAACTTCTGAATGAATTCAAGTCCAAAATTTTATAAAGATAGATTATCTAAAGTCCCACCTCACCACAGATGAAAGTTGCTAATATTAGTATTTTTGCCAAAGTTGAGGTCCTTGTTAATTTGTTCGCAATTCTGTCATTTTATGGTACAATACAATGCCACTGGTTATTTTATCAAACTGATTAAGATGTTTATGTGACAGATCTGCAGAAATTAGATATCTTTGAGAAGCTTGAAAAGAAAGATCAGGTAATGATTTATAGCGTAGTTGCCCTTCTACTGACCATCTCTTGTCAAAGATCGCTTCAGTGAAACAATCAAGAAGAACATTGACTGTCAGAGTTTATTAATTTATTTATTTTTTAGTTTTTTGGTTCTCTCCTTGCGCTGGGTTGGTTTTCTTGATTTTGGCTGGAATTTCTTCATTTCAATAAATTGTTATGTTGGTGTTTACGTGAAATGCCTAGGGACAAGATGAGAAAGGTGAAAAAGAAAAGAAAGAAGATGAAGAGGAAGAAGATGATGAAAGAATCGAAGAGGGGGACGAAGAATTCAGCGATGATGGGGATTATAATCAGGTCTATAAGCAAAACTTATACTCTATGTCCATACTTTGAATGTCAGTCTACTTCCGATCTATTTTTGTTGCCTGCTCATACACCTGCATTTGTTGTTTTCATGAAGAGCGCCTTCTTTTTCATTTAAATACATATGCTTGAGTAAGGGGATATTGCTGGTTAAGGCTTTGGTTGTAGTGCTGTTGTATGGTAGAATAGGAGGAAATTCAGTTCAAGGGGGTTTGAGTTTTCCCAAGTTTAAAATTGTCCTTGAAAAAAATTATTGAACCATTTACAGTATTCATAGTTGCTTGAAGGCAAGACTGGCAATGTTGCCACGGTTTATTTTGTGTTATAATGGGGGTGAATAATATCCTCAATTTTTTATCCTCTTGTTGTCCTTAAAAGTACATAAAAGAAAATTCGGCTATGGTCTCTTCAGCAGCCTAAACTAGAACCATTGTTAACTAAAAAATTGCAATTGTCAAACGTGGGAGGAAAATTATGATTAAGCTCAGAATCTGGTAATCATCGAGCTTATATATCATCAACCTAATTATCTCCCTGATTGTTGTTGACTCCATATCAGTTCCATTTCTGGTCATTGTAATTTCATGGCAATTCATGTGGGTTTTTAATCTTAAGTTCCAAGAGATCCCACGGTGATCTTGCCTGAGCATCCAAATCTGGAGCAGAGTGAGCTGAATGAGGAGAGAAACACTCCTTACATCCAATCGGATTATAGGGAAAACCTTAGCTCGCTGAAGAAATTACTACAATACCTGATACTTGCTGTAAGAATTCCGCCAAGTCCATGGACACATATTTCCAATGTAAAGGTTGAGATATGAGAGCCGAATTACATCATCAGTAATGAACACTAAGACTATGAGATACACATAAATTCAAAAATGAAAAATATAATTATGAAATTCAATGAAAGAATAAAACCTATATCATCATGTTTGATGCATTAAAACAACATGCAATAAACGCTTGAAAATTCAACCAAGCCCATCAAAGATACATGAGGAGCAGTCAAGAAGACTAGCAGTTGAATGAAATGTAACAGAAGATGATGTCATCCCATTGGTTTTGACCCGGAATGAGGTAGTCACGAAATGCTTCCAAAAAAATAACCTTTGCAACTGAAAAACAGGCTAACAAAGAGATTGTTGTCCTTCTTAAGGAAGAAGGTGACGGTTTGGTAAAGATAGAAATGGAAAATAGCCCACAATTCCAATGAGGTTTCAGTCGGCGTGAAATAAACCTAGAAGATGAACTAGGAATCTGTATAGCTTTGAGCATTATGTAAGTACATAATATGTATATATTTATTTAAAGGTGCATTTGTCAATTCAGAGGAAAGTTGTTGAACTTTTGTTACTGATAGTGTTCTATGTTCAGTAACAAGAGTGTTTCTTTCACTTGAAATTTTGATCCTTTTTAGTGAATTTAAATGATGCCTAAAACACTTAAGAATCACCCAAGTTTTAAGTATTGTAATTGAGATTCAAACGTACAACTTCTTCTTAAAGATTAATTCTTACCCATTTTCCCCAGTGTCTGAGTTCGATGATCACATAAATTATGAAGTATCCCAAACATTCTGAGCCACTGCAGTCTTTTTCCATTCAAACATTGTAATACCCCGATATTGTAAAAAGGATTTCTTAATTAAATTAATTTATATTATATTATTATTATTATTTTTAAGTGATTTGTTTTATTTAATTAGGTGCTTGATAGTTGTGATTTGTTTTATTTAATTAAGTGCGTAGGTAAATTGTATTGTTTTAATTAAATTATATATTTTGTAATTTTATTTGTTAAATTTATACGGTGTTTGATTTGTGGAATGCTAGTTAGTGAAGTGTTTATTTGATTTGTGTGATTTTGTGTTGGTGTACCTTTATTGTTAATTATTGGTAGCTATTAAATTTAATTTCATTATTTTAGGTATTTAAGTTATTTGTATTGGGATTAAAGGAAGTTGGACCAACGGATGTGGTATTGGGCTTGAAGGAAGCCTTGTTGGGTTAATTGGTAAAGGCCCGTGGTTGTGAGGATATTTAATAATTATCTTTGCATAATTATACCTATATAATTACATGTGTATATTAATTCATTATTAAATCATGTGGAGGGGTATATATGTCAATATAATTATATATTGATATATATAGGTATATATAATTTATTTAACTAATGGTTATATATGGAAGGTAATATATATATGTTTATAGTAAAATATATGTATGTATATATATTATTTAAAAGATAAATATTATTTATTATGATAATCCTAATGGGAAAAGGATTTAGTTTTTGTATGTATATAAATAGACACATAAGACTCTAGGGTTAGGAGTTTTTCCACGTTAGAAAAATAAGAGAATTAGAGAGAGAAGAAGAAGGGCTAACGAAGAGGAGGCCGGATCAAAGAACGTAAGAGGAGACCGGATTTGGAAAAGAAAAGGCTAGTTCCTCTCTACTTCTCCTCTTAGAACTCATAAACTTATCACCTTGATTATCGAAATTGTAATTTTATTTTATTAAATTAAATTATTATTCAGATTGGAGGAGCATATTTATTCTTTACAAAATTATAGAATTAAACATGTGAATATATGTATGCATTGTTCTGATAATTTAGATCTTGTAGGTGAGGTTAGGTTAATTAAATTTTATTTTTCTAGAATTTTTATATTTTGCGTTAACCTTGTGTAGCACGATTAATTAAATTAAATGGATTTTAATTTAATTGTATATGTTCATTTATGCCCAAAATAATAAATAGAGCTTTTGGGATTTTTCTGAGATTTTCTGAACAATTTCTGAAATTAATTTATATTTTTAATGTTAATTTAGAAATTGTTATATATATATATATATATATATATATATATATATATATATATATGTTAAATTGTTTAACAAACACACTGGAGGCGGCTAGTATTTGCGCATCAATAGGATTTTTATCCAGTGTGGTCGCGTACGTAGGAAAAGGGTGCACTCGTTGATCTAGGCCATAGGATTAATTTTATTTAGTTGGATTGATCTGGTGTGATGCGGTCCATTGTAAGTTGATACACATGCGGCATCAATGGTTAGATGTAGTTGATTAAGGGAGAGGATCCAGTGCATCGCGGCTTACCAAGTGCACCAAACAACAACCAATTAGGAGCTGCCAACACGCGCCGAGAGTGGCTCAGGCGCGTGAGGGCGCGTGCAGGCGCGTGGACGCGCCTGCCGGTAAGGGGAAGCGCGTGGAGGCGCGTGGGAGTAGTCTAGGGCTATGTGGCGGCGCGTGAAGGCGCGTGGGGATGCGTGTGAGGTCCTGGAAAGTTGCTTGAGACTCCGGTGAAGTTCCAGTATTTATCTTAAGCTTGCTAGGGTTAAAATTAATCATTAGAGGGTGTGTTCTTGATATTTTGAGAGCCTCAGAGTGTTACTAAGATACCTAGTAGCATTTAGTGGTATAAATATAATTAATTAAATATTTTTGCAATGAAAGGAGGTGTATATATGTGTATATATATGTAGATATGATTTTAAATAGTCAACGATTGGTATGGAATGTATGATACACACATATATATATATTACAAAATATATGTGTATATATATATTATTTAAGATTATTAAATATTATAAATCTTGTTTGGTATGACTTGATTCGTGTATGGTATGGTTGATTTAAAATCATAATAGATACACGGTTATTAAATTAAGGACATGCTTATTATATGCATGTGAAGTCTATGTATAATTATACCTAGAGTTAAGTTTAAAATTAATACATGGTTGAATTGTAGGCATGGATGAGTTGCCAAAGGCTTTGATATACTGCCTTATTGGTTATGAATAAATTTCATATATGGGAAGTATGGTTGAATTGCTAATTAATTGTAAAAGTAAATATATTGAAGGAAGCATGGTTGAATTGCTAGTATATAAATAAATATATTTATAAATGGTATGGTTGATTTGCCGGTGCATATTTAAATTGCTATATGTGTAGATGACTAAATTACTGTTTAGGATGGAGTTAAGGTGAGTGGGGTTTACTTTATGAGAAAATTATAAAAGGGGGGCTTGGTCTAGGTATGACTAATAATTAATTATTGGTGAGTGGTTTTGACAATTTAATGCCCTATTAACTGGTAGGATTCTTGCACTATATATATAAGTATTTATATATATTTGTAGCATCGTATATTAAAGTTAAAGCTTAATTAGGGATGGTTTTGGTAAAGATGATCTGTTTATTGGTTTTCAGAGGCTTGGTAGAGAGAACTTGCTCGTAGGGTTTAACCCGCGATTTATTTTTCAGGTTGTAGAAGGTCAAGTCTCAAGGTTGAGGATCCGCAGCTGGAAGACTTATCCATTCCTTCTATTTACTTAAAAGTAGGATATTAGTTTTGTTTCAGTTGATATTAGTACTTAATTGGTTGAAATTCTAAATAGTAACTTTTGGTTAAGGGGTCCTTGAGTTACGGGATTCCCGAGTTGTAACCATTTGGAAGTTATTAATGGATTTACTATTAATTGGATTTCTTCAGCGTTTTATTTTATTCTTTATTTCATTTTGTAATCCGTGCTTGTTTAAATACTTTAATTGGTTTGATATCCCCTGATTTTGTGCGCGGACTTGATCAACCCGTGTTCCGAAATTAGGGGGTATTACAAACATTTTTTATTTTCAATTCACTCTTCTCTCCGAGATAGCTCATTTTATTTATAAACTTCTCTTTTGAGCTCTGTTGATGACCGCGCCACGATAGCTGACTAAGTGGCGCCACCTCTGCAACATAGGCACAACTGGCCAGTGCTGACCTGGCGTGCCCACATTGGATTAGGTTTTCTCAAGCTACCTATCCAATAACGGAACTCACTGGTCGAGGGAGGGGTCGCTACCCTTCCTCTACTGTGGACGCGCCTCGCTCCAGTCGGATGGGCTCCTCCCCCCCCCCTGGCTCGCTCGAGGGTGCTCTCTGAAAGAGCAACATCGACTAACCTGTGTACATGTTTCCCTTCTTGGCAAAGAAGACCTCGGGATAGAACTGGGATGGGAACCTGCGAGGTCATGAAGGCAGGACCTCGAAAGGGGCCTATCCCCACTGAAGCACGGGAATTTGAGGACATGTGGATAGGTGGCTGAGATCTAAGGGGTCACCTCAGTCCGAGGCCAGCACAAGGGGGAAAGGATACCCGGTACCTAAGCTCGAGCGATAAAGGATAAGCAATGCATTAATTGCGAAAGACATTTAATAAGACCCGCATTAATTAGGGAGCGCTGTTACCTCTTTTGACTGGGGGGCAAAGCGCCGCGGCCCATCCATCAATGTCTCATCCGTCAGAGGAAGAGACTATTAAACCTGTGGATAAGAGCGGGCTTAGCTAAAGGACCAAAAGACATTGACCGAAGAGGAAAACACTATAAATAGGGGTGTTAATCAGCCTTAAACACACACAACCACCACATTAACACTTATCCTCTGACAAGCTCGAGGTTGCATGGTACCGAGGTCGGCCTTCCCTTTCTTAATCTCCATACCTAGAGAATCCCTTGTGTTGCTTGGATCTCCACTTGGATACTGATCTCAGATCTCTTGGCTTACGTGGAACGATCTCTCATCCTATTCACGAACTACCATCAACAAGCTCTAGGAAAAAAATTTACAAATAAAAGCAGAAAAGCATTTATACTGTAGCCTGAGTTATCAACGGGCACCATATTTATATTCTTATTTTCTAATGGCTACAGGCACTGCTATTTTGGTGTAGGGTCGTTCTTGTTGCCAACCTTAACTAATTAGCCTCCAAATGGAAGGTAATTTATTTTTGGTCACGAATTGGTTACATGGAATTGGACCATTCCTTGGATTACGTGGAACGTAAACTCTGATGGTTGGCAGTTCCTAAATCAAGGCAGTGAATGCTGATTGCTGAGGAGATGGCATAGTGATCCAATTTAACATTGAAGGAGCATTGGGTCCCATCATTAGCTAATGGATGTTTTTAAGCTGGATCCTATGGTCAGGCTGATTTGATTGTGTTGGTTGAGAAAGAAATTATTTTGCTTGTCAAATGTAGCTTGAGATATATGATTTTAAGCAACTCTTGGGGACTTTATATTACTATCCCTTTATTTGGATACAAGTATTGCTTTAATCATAGGAGAGTTCCTTTATTATATAAGCTGGCTTTTTATCAGCTTTGTTTGGAGAATGAGAAGAAAGTTTGTTGGAATGCTGGGGTACGAAACAGCAATGAACTACTGATTGCTGCTTATGGGGTTCATGTTACCTATCAAAATTATCTTAGATTTATAATCTTGTGATTCTCCAATGATTGCAGTTTTCTGTTGCTCATATTGTTTGCTAATTACCTTAAATCTAAAACCTTACGTTTCTTAATATCTTTTGTCTATAAAAGCTTGAACATATTTCTCTGTTGAAATTCGTTTGTAATTGACGCTTTGAATAATCTCACAGAACATTGATTTTGATGACGATGAAGATGACTTCAACATGGCTGACGACAATGATGATGGTATGTGCTTTGTCTTATTTGCACTTCATTTTTTTTATAATTTCAAATTGGGACATTTCTTGTATTTGAATGGAGAATTATCAACTTTTGATATTGATGATTGGTCTAACAATAATTCTCACCAATAATTTGTAATGTTGCAGAAGCGGCGTATTAGATGTTGCTCTTGGGAATGCTTTTCTGGCTTTCTTCAACTTGGCAAATGGAAGCATTCTTTTTCCCCATACCAAATCAGATAAGTTTGAGTAATTAGCATAAGGTTGCTATACAGTCAGAGGGCCTTCTTTTTTGTTTTTTGCCATTTTTTTCTGATTGATTAGGTAAAGAATCAAACTGCTAACCCTACTGCTTCTTTTTAGATACCATGCCATGTTGATTTGACCGAAAGAATCTTATGGCTTTTCTAAAGTGCAAAGTAGGCTACATTACAGTGAGGGATGATGGAACTCACTTGGTTGCTTATATCGGTTTGAGTGAATTAGATTATCTCACTTAAATATATGTTCATCTCTTCCAGATTGTGTCAAGCATCCAAAGATCAGCCATCAAGTGTATTGCTTCTTTGCCACTCAGCAGTTACTATAATGTTTGCCATTGCATATTCTGTTTTTGCTTTCTGTTCACTGTATTTCTTTTTTAAATTTTCGTCTTGAATTTAGCCATTTGTAAGTTTTTGATTGAGGTAGGTTGACAAAATGGTTGTCTTTATTTAGTCTGGTGATACTTATGTCATTGCATTTCATTTGGATTTGATTTGGTACTTTTCTCATTTTAATGTTGGCTGGTCATATTTTGTGATTCTGTAACTCTGGTTTTTACTTTTTCGTTTGCAGTCTCTATAAAAAGGGGAGCTTCTCTCTAGTCATGTAATTTCTAACATGGATGCGAGTCCTACTCTGTCCTTATTAGGAGGGGTTTTTGTGTATCAAGTCCATTCTAATAGGCTGAGTGTTTGGCCCTTATAAGCCAAGACACTCTCACGTGGGACAAGAACCTCCAACATTTTGTTTCATCCGAACTCGCGTTACAGCAAGACTTATTCCTTGTCTACCTTAACAGGTTAAGGACATCCGATTACAGACTAGGATTGGAATTGCTCTAAACTACTGATAACGTGTTGGACATTTGTCATTCGATTCACAAGCTTAACTTGTTAAGTAAAGCTGCCTATCCATCCTAATAAACTCTCCAACTGGATCTGATATGACACGAGAATTTCTATAACATCAATCCATTTCATGTTTCTTTATTCTCACCTACACGAGCATGCGCAGATGTTACGGACGTGCTTATGATTGCCAAAAGAAGAAAAAATGGAAAATGAAATTAGTAGGAACTATTATCAGAATATTATTAGGAACACAAGTCTGGACTAATCTGATTAATCCAAGTATAATTTCGGTTTGGAGCCTTGGAGCTTCGGTTGTGCTCAGGTTGAATGTTTTATATATTGGTGGAGTTTGGATTGATTTCTTGATTTGTTCAAAATGCAATAATTAGTTGTCTAAGTTGCATATTTACTTATTTGGAGAAAACAAAAATTGGTTCTTTATTTCTCTTGCAATATTAAACAGCCATAAAGTAAAAAAACCTTAAATTAAAGCACAAAGTTGTTTGACATTGCTACATTATTTAAGGGTAATTTAGAGTAACCTTTTCTAAAGTTTGGCAAAATTGTGCGGACCTCTATAATTTTTAAAATTATACTTGATTTCTCTCCTAAGAGCTAATTGGGGAGTTTAGTGCAATTTTTGAAATTATTAAGTCTTTAAAATTATACTTGATTTCTCTCCTAAGAGCTAATAAGGGAGTTTAGTGCAATTTTTGAAATTATTAAGTCTTAGAATTGTAATATAATTTTAACTTTTTTAAGAAAAGTAATTTTTAAACCCCACCACATATATACCAAAATATAAGTTGTTGTACAGAACACTCTGAGAGACCAACGGCACTAAGACAACGGGCAAATCAAAGAATGTACTGAAGGGTCCTGTGCTCTCAACACAACGGTCAAGCAAGTGCTTCAGATAAGTAAGGTCGGGTTATAATGTAGCCTATATATATCTTCTCTTTGTATCATCATTTACATTTCAATTCAATACAACTTCAATATATCCCTGTATATCTCTGTCTCTCTCTATCTCTCATAATCAACAGGGTCTCAGAGCCACCGCCGATGAGGCTTATGCCGACGTCTCCGGCGGTGGTCCAAGGTCCTCAATTAAACCAACCTCTGAGTCATCGTAAACGCCTCTGTTCTCGTTCTCAACTCTGACCTTGTCCTCTCTTTCTGCAACTGCAAACTACAAAGTCTGCAAGAATCAAAAATTCAAAACCCATATCTCAGTTTCCATAGCCCGCTGTTCCAGTTCGGCCCGCTGTCTCTGAACTCTCAAGCTTCAGCCGCCGGCCCGCTGTCTCTCATCAGAACGGATTCGCGATCTCAGCCGGATTCTTCAACCGTCGCCGAGCGGACCTCAGCCGGATTCTTCACCACAATTTCCGCTGCTCATCTCTGCCGCCAGCACTGTCATCTCATCTGCCGTCGCTGCCCATCTCCACTGCTCATCTCTGTCGCCGCCGATCGCACACCACATCAGAGTCTCTCACAAAATCAATCTTATTCACTATCTTCTTCTTAGCTTCAAGAGTCGATCGGAATCGGAAAAATGGCCGGAATCGAGTTGCTGCCCAAAGAATACGGATTCGTTGCCCTTGTGCTCGTTCTCTACTGCTTCTTCAATTTTTGGATGGCTTTTCAAGGCGGCCGGCTATGTAGAAGACCCCAAGAGGAGCGCAGATCAGTTACTTCATTCCTCCCAAAATCATGAGCATGAAGAACACGGGCAACATTTCCAGCGATTTTTGATGTCCTCTCTGAATACAGTTGAAGAGCTTGGCATCCTTGTTTTCAGATTCCACAGCATAGAGCGTGGGATAGTTCACCTTGTACTCGGCCATGTCCACCTGCTCCATTCTACAACCTCACCACGACTTCGTAATGTCTGACATTCAGTCCGCCATCATTCCTTCGTCTCCGGCCACAGTCTTTGCCCTCATGACCTGCTCCATCAACTCGCCGGTGCAGCGAGCCGCCATCAAAATCCTCAAGCTTGCCGCGCTGCAAGTCCAAGACCAAGATCTGTCTCGCCGGCCATCTCCATCCTCACGGTCGGATCTGTCTCGCCGGCGCCATCAACATCCTCACAGCCCGCCATCTTCAATAGCCGGATCTGTCCCGCCGGATCTGCTCGCCGGCTCTCCTACAGCCGCCATCGATCGCATCTCATCTGTCGCCTCCCTCCGTTCTCATCAATTTTCTTTCGCACTCTTATTGTGAGAATTGGGTGGGATTAACTATTATACAAATTAGGACATTGGGTCTATTTTTTGAATTGTGAAGATTTTGGGCTCCGTCGGATAGGGCCTATTATTGTGAAAAAATATATATATAACTGTTTCCTTGTTTGGACTGTTCCAAACCCGGTTTGTAGAATCGGCCAGTCAAGTTCTAGGTTCTCCTGATATTCCTCTAGAATGTATTCCGATCAGTTTCAGTTTCCAGAGTACAGCTCGCCTAGTTTCTTGGCATTAATCTGGCTCTCTCATGCGCTTCCAAGCGCTCAGTCATCGACATTTCTATCAAGCGTTTCCAAACACTCTGTCATGTGCTTCTAAGCACTCTCACATGCTCCTAAGCACATTATACTACCCTATCAAATAGTAATTCCGTTTTGTCACAGGTATCTGTGCGTCGTGCTCCCAAACACCTCAAGTGGTAAATTCACTTTATGATTTCATTTTAGTATTAGCTTTTAAGAGCTTGTGATTAACATACTTGCCTTAAAATGGTTCTTATGCGCCGTATCTCAAATGGTTATAAAATAGTAATTTCGCTCTGTCACAAGCATCCGTGCATCTCTCTACTATGATTCCATTTTAATATTCGCTTTTAGGCTTTGATTACCGAGGAATAGAGACTTTACAAATAAAGCCCGAGGATTGGCATTCCATTGCTGTCATTTTATATGTATATGGTTACAATTATTTACGCTCCCAATGTGCATATGATGTAGCACCAGGCGGGCTGTTAGCTAGTGTGTATCATCTTACCATAATAGAGTATGGTGTGGATCAACCGGAAGAGGTATGCATAAAAGTATTTGCCCCAAGGAGGGATCCTAGAATTCCGTCTGTTTTCTGGGTTAAGAGCTGGGACCACACTTGATAGCCGCTAGCATTTAAGCATCTAAATGTATCGCTCTCTCCGTCTCGCTCTCGCTCTCTCTCTCTCGTAATCAACAAGAGTCATTTATTGGAGTCTCCCGGCTAGCCGAACTCATTCAAGATCACCCGTAGCTCACCGCACCTTCGCTAAAGAACGAATCTCCGATCGAACTAAGTAAAGAGCTAGCGTGTCGCTTCGCTTTCAGCATTGTTGTGGTCTTCTTTCCATCGTTAAGGAACTCAGGAAATAGTGCTTTAGCTTTTCCATCATTCCTGGTGAGACCTCTTTGCTAACCTTCGGTTTCATACCCTTCTCCGGCTATATGACCAAAGCAACCCTTCGAGCGTGGGCATAACGAGTGCAGAGGCAGAAAGCAAGAAAACGAGTTCTATGGCCAGAGTCAAAGGCTTGAAAAACAGCCGATTTGAGGCATAGATAGGGAAATCCATCACCGGCCACGACGGCAACAAATGGGCTCAGACCTCTTCTTTTCCCAAGGTTTCTCTCTCTCTATATATATTATGTTTCTACTCGAGATTTATTTTTATTAATCTGTTAAGTTATAATATTGGTTATTAATGATTATATTGCGTTGATTAGTTAATGTGATTTATCCTGTCTCTCTTCAAATTTACGCTATTTGGTTGTAATTGGTTTTCTATGGATCTGTACAACTCATACTTAGACTGTGTACTCCATCAATTTTTTGGTTCCTGAGTTTGATTAGGTCTGTAATTCTGACTAGTGATTCTCCTTCGGTTTGTTCAGTTATGATCAAACTCACATATATACATGCATTTCTATATACACAAACATGGATGTTCAAATTATATGTGTGTGTGTGTACATTCTTAATTTTGTTTTCACATACATCCACAAATGCCTTTGTGTTAATGTGTGTGTGTGTTTTTGCATGTAATTCTTTTTCTTTTCTTCTTATGGTTTTGGAATTTCTCTGTCAGATAATCTGATATGTGATTGACATGTTTGGTTCTTAAAAAAATGTCAATTCCATTGCATTATTATTCAATCAATTATGAGAAAAGATAAATGTTCTCAATATGATATGTCACAAGAGATCCTTCTTTTCTGAATCTATGGTTTTTGTATTTTTTATGGTTCCTTGCATGACTTGTGTTGCAAAGCTTTCATTTTTATGGTCTTTTTTAATAATGTAAATAATGGGATATATGTTTCTCTTTGGTTTGTTTTAGCCCTGTTATTTATTAAAATTTCATTAGATTTTGATTCCATATCATCTGTAATTTTTTATGTTTTCGTGTTTTCCATGCTTACTGTGTTTATTACTGTGCCAACTCATTTTTTGTGTTTTATACACTTCTGTAAGTTTCAATATTTGCTTTTCTCACATGTTGATTGTGTACTGTCTTGATTATTAACTATGAAGTCTCCTGTTTATTTGCAGTTCAAGCCCAAAGAGATGACTGGGATCATGAAAGATTTTGAGGAAGCTGGCTTTCTTGCTCCTACGGGACTACATCTTGGTGGCACAAAGTACACGGTAATCCAAGGGAAGCCTGGAGCTGTTATTCGTGGAAAGAAGGTATTTCATCTTTATATTGTTTAAGCTTTTTTAATTTTTCCTTGCTAGAGAAAATAAATGATTGATGGTTCTTATGTTGTTCCGTCTCTGAGTTTTGTCAGCTAATCTGGATTAAGCATGTTCTGTTTTCTATATCTTTAATTTTCACCTTTTTGTTTGTACTATGCTACGCACTACAGTAGTCTCGATGTAATCTCCGAATAACAAGCATTGTTCAATTTGTTCTACATCTCTGTTTTTGAAATTCATGAATTGGACAGTTCAATAGTATTTTAATGGTATGCAATATAAGCCAAGTTTTATTTACCCAAATATATATATATATATAAGCCAAGTTTCAGTTGTATACTTTCATTCTCACTTCACCTTTTGGCATTTTCAAATCTCATGTGTGGACCCTCTCTTCT